TATCAGCTGGGTTTCGAGTTTGCACCCAGAGTCCCTTCTGGTACAGCAGTAAACCGTGCATGTTTAAATGACATCAAAGTACTTAGTATATAGCAAAGAGAAAATATATATGCAACAGAAGTCCTTTGTTAAATCCAGTAGCTGTTCTTTTTGTCCAACATATAAACTGTATAAATAACATGGACTGCTGGTTTTGTGACCTGGAGGATGTATCCTGATTCTAATTACTGTAGTACTGCCACATAGCTAACCTTTCTTCATACTAAAGTCTCAGAAAAACTAGACAGGACTTTTCTACTCTGCTACCTAGTCATAGCCATATTTCTTAGATTATTTTTGTATCCCGTTTGCTTTTCTATTTCCGCAGTTTTCCAACACCAAAACAAAAGACACTGCCTGTTCGAGGACCACTGTAACGTTTACTAAGAAAAACCAGCAAATCTGTGTTGTGTTGCGTTTCCCCCTGCTGGTGATAAATCAGCCTTTTTGTCTTTTTATCTCAAATACAGATAGATGGGGAAGTTTCTGGCATAGCTTTCACAATCATCAAAAGCAGAAAGTATACCCAGTGTTTTGTTCTTTATTTTTTATAAGTCTTCTGTATTTTTATATTTAGAACTTTTTAATATATTCAGTATATACAAAAATCTTAAAGGCATTTAAATTAAAAACAGTAATAGGATTAAGTCATCTTAGAGTATATGTATTTATGCCATGTTAATAGACCGTTTTAGGCCACTTTATACTTTGGCCACTAGAAAAATCGCTTGTTTACCAATCAAAAGCCATGTCATTGGATGACGTTGCAACTCCTGAGAGTTCGTTATCCAATCAGCTTTACCGACCTCCCTTAGTGTGACCACATCACCCGCAGTCCTATTTTTGACGTCTTCTCCTTGTTGGCTTTCCAGTCGTTCTACGTTACAATTTTGAGGCGTCTGCATTCTCAAGCAAAATCGCATATTTCAGTCATTTTTATTATTTTTATCATATTTATTATTTGGTAATTCGTCGGCAAGTAGTACTAATCTGAGTTTAAATGGAATTTAACTGTTGCTCTTATAAGAAAGATAATTGAAGTGTATTTTTTTCTACATGAATCTTTCCTGTATTGTTTCCGATCTTACCAGGTGAACGACTGCGAGAATCATAGAGGAATGGTGCTTTAGATGTCTTGGGTTTTAGAGGGCAAATTTTATATACGTACGTGATTTTTAATTTAACATTGTAATAAAGCAAAATGAGAAGGGATTTTCTGCCAAGTCTCGCTTTGGTTCACCTTCCAAAACGTGTTGCCATAGGAAACGCAGCCAGGTTCAGGAAGAAAGCAATACTTTTCTTCTGCTCAGTAACTTTAAAATGCCTTTTCTGTGCTTAAGGTTCTGCCAGAAAGTAAAAAGAAAATAAAAGCTTATTCATATTACAGTGCTTCACAAATAAAGTTCTGAAAACGGGCAATTGCTGATACCCTTGTATTTGTTTAGAACCCTCGCTTCGTTGTGTCGTTTTTATTTTCAGGTAGATTCATATTTCTCATATCTGTCCATCCCACGGAAGAATGTTTCCCTTTTTCGTTTGGTTTGCTTCAGTGGCGTTTGAGGCGCTTTCTCTTGTTTTCCTCAACCTGCCGCTTTCCTGTTTCGCTGGGCTGTGTGTGGTGTTTTAATGTGCTTTCCGTTGCCTAATTCTTGGTAAGTGTGCAGATGTTTGTATACGCTTTTTTTGTCATCTATTCTTTATTCAGTGATGTGCAAGGGAAACAGAGGGGTCATATTTTTGTTCTGCTTTTTTTTCTTATTTGGAGGGGGCGGCGGGAGGGAGGAGGTGTTATAGGAAAGTAAATTAAAATGTGCAAAAGCCGAACCAAAGCCATTGTATTGTTTCCTTGTTGCCCTGATGAAACTGCCATGTGATTAATTTTATTGCACTGGTAACAGTTATGTATATTTGAAAGAAATCACTATTAAACTATGTTGGCAGATTGGCAACTACATTTAATTTCAGAGCTGATTTTCACTTGCACCATTTTTAGAAACATGGTATTTGGGTTTTGGTGAGGAGAACTGGTGGGAGGGGGGGATATGTACCGCTTTATCTTAATTAAACGACGAATTTTAGATACTGGGGTAGCCAAAAACTTTTACTTTTACATTGCCTCACCTGCAATGTAATCGGATATAAATGTAATTTGCTGAAGTTAAATATAGTTTCACTCTGAGAACATTCAATTTTTCTTTTTAAAAAAACGTGGGACATAAATTGAGATTCAGTCAAATTCAGCAGTTCTTCTTATTACAAGCACTGGTATTATTTTTGTATAAAATATTATGTGGTATGCATGACTTTAACAATTTGGTGGTTCAAAGCAATATGTACCCCTGGTGTGAGTGGTATATTATTGATGTCCTGTGTAGCCTAAAACCATGCTGTACTTAAAATATGCGTTTGGAAAAACTAAAGAAAAGCAACAAAAAAATGTTCAGTATATGTGTTCAGTGTTCTGCATGTTTATATACTGTATGGAATGAAACATCCAAAATGTTTGACTTGCTTCCAAGATTCCCAGTTTAGGCAGCCAGACACACACAGGAACACAGACTTGCTGCCGTGCGCGCGCGCACACACAATCAGACGCTCATCATGTCATTTCTCAAGCCCTGCGTGGGTCACGACAGGCCCACGCAAGCTCGCCAGGAGGCAGTGCACACATCCTGAGGAGATACTGTTCTAGATGGGCTAAGGAGGAGAAAATACTACAGCATTTTGATTTATTTTTTTTTCCCCACCGAGAACTCCAGGTCCTGGAGCTTTGCCCGTTCGCCAGTTCAGAAAATTCTTCTGTCCGCGGCCGGTGTGCTGTATTCTGCTCCCGGTCGCCCGCCTTGCACCCCGAAGGGCGTGATGGTCCGTGGTTGCAGAGAGGGGCCCCGCCTCGGCGCGCCCCATGTCGCGGTCAAGCGATCCGATGTTGTGTAGTTTGGGCCGCTAGAAAATCCCACCTAGTTGTCTGTTGGTTGCCGGAAAGGTGTTTTCCTTTGATTAATTCTTCTACAGTTTTCGGGGGGGATGTTTCTTATAAAGGCCTTTCGTGTCATTTTGGGCGGGGAACTATTTACCCAGTGCCAGGGTAACCATCCTCTGTTATCTGTCACGCACATGTTGTCATCAGTACTACATGTTTTGCTTGTTAAACCACAAAGTAAAACCTCAGAAATCAAGAATCTGAGTTTTTTTTTTGCATTCATATTGCCAGCAATCTACAGGGCTGACCTTTCATACCGTGTAAGAGGAAATTTATTGATCTCGGTGAGGAAGGTGGCTTGAAGGTACAATGAATTGTAGGATGAAGAGTTAGTTTGTGCAGCTCAGAAAATGGGGGTTTTCCCAGTAACTAAGACTAATACAAGCATGCTTCTGTAACAGCTGTTGACTCCACCTGTGAGAATGTGCACCTTGTACAGTAGCTTGTATGTAAAAATCAGTTCAAGGTGGGTCTCTTCAGTGTAAACTAATTTGGATAGGTGACTGTGGAAAAGATGGCACATTTGCATTGCCTGCCTCCCTTTTAACCTCAGTGCACTGAGGAATACAGTACATAAACATAGTTTCTCATTGCAAAAGTCCCCAAACTACTTTGCCATTCTTCACACCCATCATCAAAGGCCTATCATCTTGCAGTGCATTTGGTCCAGCCAATATTATTCTTTTTCACATCCTTTGGGAGCTTCTGTCATTAGGTTTAGTTTTGGCTGCATTTGCCCTTTTAAACCAGATTGCTCACAAAATGCAGCTCCCACATGTTCTGTAATGGTAAAATCAGGTTTGCACACAAGATCTCTGGCAGAGCTCGCTAGCATTGTAGAAAGCACATCCAGCTTTCCTGAGTATCTTAGGTCTTGCTTTCCCCTTCCCCTTATTTGTTTTAGCACCAGGAGGCTCCTGTAGTTCTGCAGTCCACTGTGAGGCTGAGTGAAACAAAGCCATAGTCACCAACCAGCTCTTCTGATGTTGGATTTAACTCTATCCTGTCTCCTGGTGCTTTAGCAATTATGCCCATTCAGCGAAGGCTTCATATTCCCTTCATCTGTTAGTCCATCTAGGCATTGTTTAAGGGCAAGCTCTTGTCTGCTCTCAAGGTTTGAGTGAGAATCCTCCTGGTTTCTCCCAAGGCTCATACCAGACACCCTCTTAACTGGTCTGCAGTATGTTAATCACGCCAATAGTGGATGTGCGTGCCTTTGCCACTGTCAATGACTGGATCTGTCTGTCCAGTAAATATTGATTTGTCAGTTTTTGGCCCAACCCTGGTGCATAGTAATACTATGGAAGTTCCAGGTTCTTTGCTTGGCCAATAATTGAGAACTAACAACTTCAAACTGAGGGCTAGTTTGTACTGAGTGATAGGATTTGCAGGTGGTTATGTATGGTACCATTATATTTTATCTTGATATCCTGGAGTCATATATTTGAAATAATCTGATGACAGTGTTAAAGAGCAGCCTCAATCTTTTATATACATTACAATCCTAAAGAAAAATGGTCGATTGACAGTGTCCAGTACTACAGTGCTGTCATGATTTCTTCATGTTAATATTGCTCTTGCCGTGTGTTATTAGCCTCTCTGCTTTAGGCATCCTTTTAGGGTTGAACAGCAGCCCTGGCTCTTAATTCGTCTCTGTGAGGACAGACAAAACATGAAAAAAGTCGCAGTTTTACAACCGGAAGAAACCATCAAGCAGGAGGCCTCAGACTTCCAGCCTAGGGTCTTCTGAATTACAGTTAACCACTTAATCATGATTGGCCACAACCTCCTTATAATGACAGTATGCTGGAAGAATGAGCGAGTGAGAAACGTTGAAGGTTGCAGGTCTCGAAGGGAGTGGGGTGGAATCGTGGTTTGTGCTCCCTAACACTCGCTAAATGAATTAGATACCAGTCCTCCATAGTTTTTGCAGGGAAACAAAGATTTGACAAATAGTATCTGATGCTACTGTATAAAGAAACAAGTCTGTCGCACTATTAGGCCTTGATTTACTTTGTCCTGCACTTTAGTGTCATTGGCTGAGTCATGTCATTAAAACTAGTTTCTTCTGCCCTAATTTTCTTCATTTGAGATTAGCACCGCAGGAAAAAGGGCATTGGTTGGGAAATTGTGCTTTCCTTTGGCCAAGGTATACAGTATACAGAATAAGGTTTTGAGAGACTGTTGTACTGTGACACTTTTCAGATGGAAAAACTAAACTTTTGAAAAAATAGAGACGTTATATTTTGTTACAACTGCAATTGTCCATTGCTATCTGAAAGACTATTATATGATTTTGGCACTTTGAGAAGGGGGCAGAGACATGCCATTTGCTTAGGGCATAAGGAATAACAGTTTGTTCAGTTTATGCTGATACAGGTTAGAACAGTGAAGGGTCCCCTGACGTGATGCTAAATGATAGTTTATCAGATTTCAAAGATTGATGTAAACAAAAGCAATTAGGGCATAGTGTGGAAAAATGTAACGCTGTTCTTATTACAACAAATAATAACATTGCTGTTAAAATAAACATTAATATTGCTATTAAAAATTAGTTTCCTGCTTTCGACTGCTTCTGGATATCTCCTTGTTCAGTGAAGACGTAGAAAAGTTTGTTTAAAAACGCGGATCTTGTGTTTCCCGTGGGTTTAAAACGAAAAATTTCCAGGTGGCGCGCACTATCCTTTCTCTGCGATGGGGTTAATGTGAAACAACTCTATGCTTGTTAATGCAGAAAGATTTTAAAAGGATGAAAACAACCAAGCGAACAATATTGTTAATCGCTCCTCGCGGCCATAAAAGGTCGTGGGTGTTGGCGATACTTTCATTATCGGGCTGAAGTTCTCCAGATGTGGTTACAGCTGCAATGGCAGTGAAGCAGTTAAGAGTTAAGAGACCACTCAGTCTTTTCAGTGGACTGTAGGCTGGGGACAGGGCAGATTGGCACAGTTTTATATATAGACTACCAAATTTTGTTGTGGTCTAGAGTGCGTGTTTCCCTTGTGTATTATAGTTCATATCTAGATATCCCAACCCATCCTCACACAGTGTCAGATGGTTTCAGTGCTCTACTTATCTGAACTCTTTGAGTTGAGCTCTTTATTCAATTGGTTACAACTGAGATTGCTTTCACCACTTCAATGGCAACCGATATCAAGTTAACTGGTTAATTCTGTTGTTCTAAATATGCAATGTAAAATGATGCTAATTGTTTAAGTAAATTATTCTTTCTTTTAAGAGTTTGGTTTCTGTGCAATTGTTAAACCGCACAGGGTGGTATGATGATTTGTTATCGTACCCCATTCCTGGTGTAGAATCGGACTCCCCCTTATTAGAGAGAAATGAGGTGCTGTACCCCCACTTTAATTATCCGTGGGATCTGAAAATAACGAAACCCACACCAATCGATATGGAGCATCCAGACTTTTTTTTTAGCAAGAGTCCTTTGAGACTAATGCAAAAACTGAATCGTGAGTCCAAAAATAAATCGTCATTTATTTTCAAAGCCACATTTTTAGCCACCTGCAATCTTGCGCAGTATCTACCGCAATTACAAAAATGAAGAAATTGAACAGCAAATTCTGTATTTGCACACTGAATCAGATAGTGATTAAAGTGTGATTTGGCGCTAGGTCCTGGTCTTTTTTTCAGATTACAAATTGGTTCAGATTAAAGCGTAAATCTTTCGCCACGTGACGGTCTTTTTGGAACAAAAACAGATCGTGACAAGATTTGTGGGTTCATGTGTCTGGTACAGAATCAAAAGGTTTCCTGTTTTTTTAAAAAAAAACATTTTAAAGAAGGGGATGTGGACAGCCGTTGAGAACATTTTTAAATGAAAAATACATAGTTCCTGTTTGCCCCCTTATTTCAAGGTAAATCAAACCCTTTTGACAAGGAGGTTTGGATTTGCCGATTTAACAGACTCACGGGTACAATTTGTCACCCTGAAGACGCGAGAAATGACTGTTGATCAGTTATGTGTGAGACAGATTTCTGATTCATGCTGGCATCGGGTATAGCTCTGGCTTTCAGACGGACAGACGGCTCCGTTTATGCCTGGGGGAATTAAGAGAGAAACATCTCATTGCGCTGGAGTAGAGTTGACACTTTTCAGTACCAAACTTGTCATGGGAAAAAAAATTGTAGTCTAGATTTTATGGTTTAGTTTACCATTACATATCATCGCGATGGAAGGGGATCAAAGTGAGATGTGCTGATGGGTGTGTAATGTTCAGGTCGTGTACAGACATAAATGAAACATTTCGCTGATCAACAATGCTGCTGTAGGCCTCCGAAATCCCACGTTTCCAGCATCATGGACTGGGGTGTATGTGTGTACACTGGACACAGATTCCTTGTTGTTTTTCCTGAGTGGGAAATACTTTTTCTCGTTGGGGAGTGTATTCTTTATTTTCAGCTGTTATTTTTTATTTGAATTTCCCCATTGATGCAACTCAACTTGTGGAAAAGAAGAGTTCAAACAGAATATATTCAATGTGTGTGTGAAGCTGCTCCATTTGAGTTACAAAGTAATAAAAATAAAACTCAATAATGTTAAAATTCGCCCCACCGATCCTTTTTAATTACGATCTATTACTAAGCCAAAAGGCCCCCTGTTTGCTTTGAACTATGCAACAGATCTCTTGGAGTTATTTTCACGGTTGACTCTCTATATCCTTGCGTCTCTCTCTGTCTCTGTGTGTGTATGTCTTTCTCTAATGTCTTGGTGGATGTGATCGTTCCCGTTTTTAATTTCTTTATACGGAACTACTATATATAGGAATATATGGTCCACTTTTTTTCTTTACTCTTTTGTAATATATAAGTGTGGAATGCCTTGTTCTCTATGTCCTGTCGGTTCCATTTGAAAGAAAAATATCCACGAGCAATTGAGATGAAGGTAATTATATATAAATATATAAAGATGCATAAATAAAGCCATTTGGGTTTGAATTACATTGCCTCTAGTGTCATTTTTCCCCTGATTTATACTTACCATATAAAAAATGATTTCAGTTACTTATCCTTCACGGTTTTATATATTTTAAAGAAATTTGAAAGGTTATAAATGGGTTAATAGAGTATACAGATTTTTTTACAGATTAATATGGTAAGTATATTTTTGCTTTGAATAAAGGCGTTATACAAGAATGTTAAGAAGCCTTACAATGAGCTACTATCTGAGTAACCAATGTCTGTAACAGCATGTTTAGCTAAACCGGCGTAGACGAAGTGCTCTTTTATTACTTGAGTAACGCAGGCAGGGGTCTGCAATATTTTATATAATCTGAAGTACAGTAATTTCTGAAGTGTCCCCTAGTGGACATCATAGCTTATTACAGTTCACACAAATAAGAATGTTCTTGTGTGTCTGCAAGGGCTCTTTCCTAAACAGTTCACACTTTACAAGGTGCCCTTATTTTGAATGCAATTACGCGGTAGCGATGCATAATTGCTCATTTAATATGAAATGCACTTCAAAGCACGACGACCTTCCCTGTTGCCCATGAGTAAAAGAGGAGCGTAACGCAACCTGCACACAGAAATGAAAAGGTTGATCTTCGTTTATTTTTCCAAAACAAAAAGAAAAGGTTAACTTTTAAAGGTTTCAATGTAATCTTTGCAGGAATTGATTTCGGAGTCATCAACAGGCTGTTTAATTCACCCAGCTGGAGCTCGGTGTGTTTTTTTCAGAGTTCTGCGGGTCCTTTGTGATTCTACTGTGCCCCCGTGACGCTTGTACAGTACTTGCTACTCCCATTCTAAGAGCAAACGGGAAAACGCTGTAAATCCGTAAACGGTCTATTCACTTCGTATTAGCTCCCAGCCTCGTAATCGTTAATACACTAATTTTCACAGGGGGATATTTTACCACGCAAACGTAATCACTTTCAAATTTGTAGTTTATACGATATAAAACATCAATACAGTCTTAAAACAAGTTTATTAAGCCTTGACATTTTTAATTTACGACATAATTGGGCCACAAGACGACCACGTTAATATAAAAATGCTATTGAAGGTCGCGGGAGCAAAAACGTATTGATCTAGTTCTGACTTGTGCTGTTCTACTAAAGTAGTCAAGATTTTGCCGGACTCCTTATGTACTTACACAATGACAATATAAAACCGTATTTGCTCAGAATGACTCCAACACCGAGGAAATCGGATGCCTCTTATTGAAAAGTCAATGCCTTTATTTTATAAACCAAGTTTATATGTACTGGAGCACAAATTCGCAGTCGTAATTGAGCCGCATGTTTTAAATTAAAAACACCACGGTTTTCTAAAGCCACATCAAGGTGAATGGTTTGCACTTTTCAAAGGAAAGCGGTGATCATATTAGAAGTGACGAAGGAGATGTTTTGTTTTGCAGTTAATTTTAAGTTAATTTTATTGATCCAGGTGATGCTTCTGCAGTTTGTGGTCCCTCCCAGCATCTTGAATTTCTCCCTGAAGACGTCTCTCTAGACGTTTTGTACGTTCTTTCATGTTTAGGAACTTTTTCCACAGACATCAAACCGATTTAGACTTTCCATTTTAATCACCGTTTTTTCTACTTTCCCTACATGTTTCTTTAAAGGGGCTGGTTTTTTGTTTAGCTGTAACGGTAAAAAAAAAAGGTTGTAGAAACTAGAAATAATTGGAACCTAAGAACTCAACAACAACAACAACAACAAAAGTCATTCTCGCGGGCTACGCCCGAAGCGATAAAAAAGTAGAGGGCACCCAACCATTAGTTTTTGAAAGCCCAAACGAAAAGGTTTCTTTTCACTGCGTGCAAAAGTTTGATCTAGATGTTTTGAACATTGGCCATTCTCAAATGTAGAAGAGTAATTGCCTGCTCGCTTTCTAACACCGTTATCTGACGCCTGAAAGCGCTGGGGTGGGCAGGAACTAAGCCCTGTTAACATTTCGTCGGTAAGAAGGGTGCCAGTTCGACGCTGAACTCTTCGGCATGGAGGTGGCGAGTTACTCCCTAGACGCTTGGCATGTCACGTACATCAGCTTTGAGGCTGCCATTGCCCTGGCTTCGGTCCTAGGTAACGTCCTGGTGGTCTGGGCGGTAAAGCTAAATCACGCTCTCCGGGACACCACCTTCTCTTTGATAGTCTCCTTGGCTGTAGCGGACATTGCAGTCGGCGCGCTGGCCATCCCCGCAGCCGTTCTGGTCAGCCTGGAGATCCAGACGCGGTTCTACTCGTGCCTCTTCGGCTGCTGTTTGCTGTGCATCCTGACGCAGAACTCCATACTGTCGCTCCTGGCTATCGCGATCGACAGGTACCTCAGAGTCAAGATGCCAGTCAGGTAAGCGTTGAATTCGGGCTCTGGTTGTTTTCCTCATTGTGTAGGTGTACAGAAAGAGATCAAAGGTTTGGGAAAACGCAGCCAATGCATCAACAACATAATCGTTTCGTGCGACCTAAGTGAGAGATTCTAGTGTATAATTGGTGTATATACTTGAACCAAGCACCATAAGCACTTTTAACATTTCTGTGAATTTTACCAGCACTAGAAACAGTATTTGGCAGCACATGGAATCTCATCTAATTGCTGTTTGAAGTAGGGTTTTTAAAGTTATTTTTTTAGATAAACGTTTTGTCAGAAGAGCTACGAGCAACTTTTTACGTGCAAATAGATTAATTACGTGCAGAATAAATCATCATAAAATATAATAATGATCCGAAACCTACCTATTTTGGATAAATGGTGAAAAGTAATTTCTCTGATCTTGGAAATGTGTTTTTGTGCTCAGTCTCTGAATTTCATGGCTTCTCTAGAAGCAGGTAATCACGTCGCGTGTAAAGCAGATCGGCCGCTGGAATCTCGGAATCACTCACCTGCAATGGTTAAAGCATTACTGTCTACCCACGAAAAAGTCTCGTTTTCTGTCAGTGTCTAGACCTCTCACGAAAGCCCGTGCTTCGAGGCCAAAAATGAAGACTTCGGGATTTACGTTTAAACACATCCTGAGCTACATTTAACGTTTTTTATACCTAATTGGGATAACCCCTTGTGCGCCCTCAGAATATTCACGATGACAGATTCTTGTAACAGCCAAAAGGTGGTATATTGAATGCAGAAAGTAACGACCCCTCAATACAAACATTTCACTGAATCCTTCCAAATTCCAGATGGGTGTGAGTCTACGTCTCCTTAATACAAAGCCCCACCGCGGTGGCATCACTGTAACCGATCTCTCTCGGTGACTGAAACATACTCCTTAATTATTCAGAGATAATATTTTAAAAATCATTAAAATATCTTATGTTTCTAGACCTTTAATGAGCATATACGCATATATTATATATTTATAGCACACCAAGTTTGTGGTGTGTAAGCCATTTAAAAACACCACTTCCCCTAGAACAGTTGTCTGGGGTGTATAGTCAAGTCGTGTATACTGTATACTGTAAGTTAAAGAGTCCAATAAGCTAATATTCCAAGGTGGTCACATTAGACAAGAATTTATTACATGCACCATTTGTAGCATTATGAATCCGTCGGACGCAAGCTTGAATCTCTTTCATGGCAAATTAGTGGAGATGCAAATTGTTTTTATGTTGTATGATGAAAAAGATTCAAAAGTTCATTACAGAACTTTATTACGGAAAAAAGCGTCGCCATAGGTCCAGCAGACAAATCGAGTTTTTTTTTGCCAACAGATAAAGGTTTATTCTTTTCGGGTCTTCATAAGCAGGACAAATTAAAGTTCAAGACGCGCGCTTGGGTATCGCACCTTTTAAAAAAATGTTTGTGTGCGGTTATCGTCAGCTGTCTTTGGTACAGAAATGAAACCCAAGAAAACAGATGCTGGATTTCGTTTTTTTTTAAAAATACAATAAGAAATGTAGATGCTTGTTAACTTTTTAAAAATATAATTGTAATTTTGTGCCTGTGAAAAAAAGCTAAAGAGACTGAGGTTTATATTTCAAGTACGTCACAAAATTATTAGAGAAGATGAAACGGTGTATCTGTATTGTGTTTTAAGGTTACGTGTGATCCCAAAAGCTTAGATTTTCTAGCAGTAGTGGTATTAATGATAACATTCAGTATGATTTTTCTTTATATGACGATTGTGCGCTTCTTGTGAAGATAGTAATGTCAAGATCAACAACTTCGTGACCAGCGCGTTGCTCACTCTGTCTCTGTCATGTGGAAACACCTGCAAACTGTTTTAAAGATGCCGGCTCGGCTTGGTGTTGCTGGCGCACGCATAGCGTGACAATCCACGTTTCAGAAACTTTTTAAAAAGGAAAATTGAAACCTTATCGTGTCTGTATATTTCACAGTTTTGTTTTACTGTTGTCAGTCACTTTTATGCTTCAATAAAACGAGATCACAGCTGATTCATAACAGAAAAGTTAATACCCCGGTACGTCTATAAAATCTTATTGCTACACACGCACATTAATACAACTATTATTAGGCAGTCGCTTTTCCCCAGAAAAGAATCAATTACTGGAATCGTATTTAGTGTAATTTTCCACACCGATGATGATCCTGTCAGTCCACATTAGTTTTTTTTTTAAAAGGAATTATTTGCCGCTGTTAGTCATGTGTATACATTTCGGTAATATCGCTCACAAAGACATATTTACAGTACGTGTTAAAAACCTTTTCTAAACATATTGAACACTATTTTAATTGACAGTGATAGTTGAGGTGATTTAAAGGCCAGCGTTTTTGTGTTAATGGACCCTGAAAGCCATGCTTTCCGTCCGTTTTGGGCGCGAGTGTTTTGTCTGAACAGTCTATTGTTTTACACAAAGAGTGGGGAGGGTATGGAACAAGAAGCCACATGAGGTTCATGTTTTAATCTGAGACTCGGGACAGATGGGGCAAAATGGCCTTATTACCTACAGTATATGCTCTTAAAATGTAAATATTTATCCGAGATCTTATACAACAACTTATGAATGTCTTAGTATATTGATGCACTCTTCATTTTATATAGGTTGTATTGTGTTCATTATGGATGTTCGAGTAAGAAGCTACATCAGCATATTTTGAAATATGAAATTGAACCTAACTTTATTCTAATCAGATTTGTTATGAATACATACAGGTATTATGTATTTCAGGCTCACACCTGAAGAAGGCTCCATGACCGAAACGTTGGGTTTTCTTTCTTCTCCTTTCACCTTGGAATAAACCTATTACTTGTTCTTTTACATAATCATATGTTGCATAATATATAGGGGAGCACAGTGGCTCAGTGGTTAGCACTGCTACCTTCCGGCACTGGGGCCCTGAGTTCAGTTCTGGACCTGGGGTGCTATCTGTATGGAGTTTGTACAGTATGTTCCCTCATGTTCCCCCATGTTCATGTGGGGTTCCTCAAGGTACTCCTCTATCCTCCCACAGGCTAAAAACATTCTGGTAGGTTAACTGGCTTCTGCAAAAATTGGTGTGTGTGTGAACATGTCTGTGTGTCCCATCCAGAGTGTACCCTGCCTTGTGCCTGTGGCTTGCTGGGATAGGCTTCTTGTATTGGCTGAGGCATTTAGAAATGAATAGATGGATGTTGCTTAAGATATATATTCAATTGTACACATCTTATTTGAGTGTGACAGCTACAGAGGTGTTTTAGAATACCGCAGGTGAAATTTCTCTTGTTCTCTCTTTCTGGTCTCTGCAGGTACCGGTCAGTGATTGATCATCGCTGCACATGCCTGGCTGTCACAGTCTGCTGGGTTGTGCCTGCCATTCTGGGTCTGTTGCCCATGATGGGCTGGCACAACAAGGCCATCCTGGATGAGTGGGCTAAGGGCAATGACAGCACCGGCCCCTACATAAATTGCTCCTTTCCTCTGGTGATGAGCATGGACTATATCATTTACTTCAACTTTTTTGGGCTGATCCTGGGCCCCTTAGTGATAATGACTGGCCTCTACTTTCTGGTGTTCGACACCATCAGGAGACAGCTGAGCTACACCCAGGTGGCATGCAAGGTCTCCAGGAAATACTACAGGAAGGAAATGAAACTGGCCAGTTCACTGGCACTGGTTCTGTTCCTCTTTGCTGTCTGCTGGATTCCTTTGCCTATCATGAACACTGTAAGCTTCTTCTGCTCCACCTGCTCCATTCCCAGGCCTGTCCTGTACTTCGGGATCCTTCTTAGTCACGCCAATTCTGCCGTTAACCCCATAGTTTATGCCTTCAAGATCCAAAAGTTCAGAATCACCTTCAAGAAGATCTGGCACTACTACTTTGTTGGAATGAATAACAAGGACACCTCTATGCCTCAGTCCAGCACCTTACAGTCAGTGGGTGGAGAGAAATCCGACAGTGTTTGATGCTCAGAGAGCACATACAAAGTGTTCTTGAGCCACTGCAAACGGTTTCCGGAGTAAACCATGTGATGGGGACACTGCCGACTGGAGCCCTTCCTCTGACACGTTGAAATGGTTTGCTGGGAAGACAAAGGGAGAAGCTAGGTGACTTGTCAAAGGAGTCCAACACCATCTCTCCTCTCTTCCAGTTTTAATCAACATCTTGTAATTCAGTTTCTAACCTTTTTCATTGCACCCAGCTTTCTTCCAAAAAGACTCAGAGAAGTAGGATTACAGATTTTGCAATAAATACAAAAATGAAAACAAAACATTTTTTTCTCTCAAAAATACTGTTATACAGTACCTGAAGCCCAAAACTAAACCTACTCAAAACTTGCAAACTCCAAACCCTGATGCCTGATGGTGATTTTTAAATTTAATGCAATTCTAAGGTCAAAGTCAGAATCTCCTTTACTTTCTTATAAATTGAGCAATTTATTCTTCATTAAAACAGTACTCCAGCCCTTGAAAAAAAAAGTACAGAATCTGACTCCATGCTCCATCTTGGAATTTATAATATCATGTTCTAAGGGATGGAAATGAGGAGTAGATCATTTGATTAATATTAAACCAGAAAAACAATATTAATTTAAAAAGTTGTTTTCCTACTGTATAACTTGCATTAAAAAGTATTCCATTGTTAAAAAAGTGTTAACATTTATTACATAAAAAGGATATACTGTACTCACTTGGGAAAATGTAGCTACTGTACTGTACATATAAAAGAAAAACATAAAAATACTATTCTTAGTGTTTAATTGATTTTTTGTTAAATAAGGCAATGGGGCTTAAATATAAAATTGAAATGAATACAGAGCAACAGAAATTACATTTTAATTTATTTTTGCTTTCTCATTTTAGAATCATCTATTGATGAGCAAGGAGACTTTTGTTATTTTAAACTTCAAACTCTGGTGCACATAACTTAATTTAATTTGATGGTTTTCCAGAGCCTTTTGAGAGGTAGTTTGCAGAAAAGCCTCCACAGTAACTCTCAAGACTGTGAGGTATCTACAAAAGGTTATCTCATGCTTCATCAGAGGAGAGAATGACTTTCTCTTGGACTTCACACTGAGCTCAAAGTGTCTAGATTTGATGACAAACCTTAATGTTTCAGCAATTGTATACATAAGATTAAAATTAAATGTGTAGGTGGGTTCGGTAGCAGTTAAAATCTGGGTTAATTTTAATAGCAGTGCTCCAAAGTGAATTCTCTCGTTTTTTCTTATCAATTATTGAGGCTTTGTCATTATATAACTATGAAGAAATCTGCATATCTGTATGTTACAGATAGATCTTTTGATCTTCCATCTACATGAATATATATTACATTTGACATTATTACTGTGATTCAGTTAGCTTTAATCGCTGTCTTCAACCACAGCACTGCAACTTATATTTTTATTATACTTTTCATAGGGTGATATGGGACACATTTTAGTTCAAATTCCTAATTCCAGAGAGAACCTTTGATTATAATGTCTTCTAAATGATATTACATTTTAAAGTAACACTGAGCTAATAGGAAGTATTTATTCTATATTACTTTGATGAGACAAAAAAACAAAATGCAGAATGCTTCTAATTTTCTCACTAAAGCAACTGTACACATCACTTGGCATCTGATGTAAACAAGATGTCTAATAGAAAAGCATTACATTTGTTCAATGCCTGAAAACTGTGTTGACAAACATAACTACCACAGTTACAGGATCACTGTAATAGAAGGGGTTACTTCTTAAAGCATTCCATTAAAATAAAAAAAACATATGATGAAAATGAAGGATTAAATGCCACAAAGTAACAGAAGTTGAGCCATTTGGTGTCTGTGTGCTTTTTAGAGCAGGGGTTCTGTTCCAATCCTCAGACTGGAGACTCCATCTAGTTTTCAAAGTTTAACAGCATTGCACCTGAGAGGCGGACTAAATTTTTCCAATGAAGGAATCGTTCATTATGTCTCTGCATTCTTAAACTATTGACAGTTTAATGATGCCTGAAAAATCTTTAGGATTCCAGAGCCAGAGGAACAGATCTGGGAGTACCTAAAAGGACAGCCTAGCCGCCCTGATCTGGAGGATAACGGTAACACAGTGTGAAGCAAAAAAAAAGAGGACCATGAATGAGACCGTTTACCAGCCATGAAGGTTGATGGACATCCCACAGTAAAAAATTAATACATGGAAGTTCATACAATCATAGGAGTGCTCACCTTATTTGAATAGGCTGACCCCACATGGTATCTCTGATACAGTAGTTACTTGCGAGCCACTTGCGTCTAGGCTCGTTCATTCACAGAATGCATAGGCAGAGTTTCAGTGAATGGCAGATGTTTCCATTTTTCCATTTTTCGGTATTGATATCAGTGTTTCTTCTTAATTTTCTTTTGTGTAGAAGAGTACATGTACTTCCAGGAGCAACTGAAGTATAAATGACTTCCACTTTTTGTGTCTGTGCTTTTTTGTTTTGTCTCATTTTAAGTCAGGATGACCTTTCACCTGGATTTGTAGGCATTAGTTATTAAGTGATTCAATTGGTTTCACTGCTGCCTTTCTAGTCAGTTAGTTACAAGAAGGTTTAATGCCTCTGCACAGAAGCGTGGGCAGACCCTGTTGCCATAAGACCGAACCTCCTGTCTGTCTTTATTGATACCTGTTGTTGTCAGCACAGATTTGTAATTTTGTGATCACGTTGGAAAATAAACTGAATTTCACCAGTTATGGAAAATGAGAGCATATAAGGAGATCACTTTTCAGATTAAAAATATTTTTAAAATGGGACATTATGCATTAAGCATTACTCTTTTAATATTTTTTTTAGGTTAGCAATAAAAACATTTTGTCTGTTTTTTTACCTGTTTTTGCTTTTTTGCAGATTGCATTGAATGCATTTTTTTTGTTTCTTCTATTTGAAGTGAATTTATGCCACAAATAAAGTGAAATATTAATTCCATATCATCCTGTCTTTTTTAATAAAAATGCATCAAATCCTATAAAAGGGTGGCATTTAGTGATTGATTTATTTTTATGTGCAAATGCGTGTGCTGACATGTCCCTGAAACACAGCTGCAACCATTTCCTTTTAGCGCAATCACGAGACCTAGATAAAGTGCTTTACATACTGTACATCTCTTTAGCTACAATGGAAATAATAGGTGATAGGAGATGTAACTACAAGGAATCACAGCATTATTTCCCTTACATCACAACACTTTCACTTTTATCATTCTTTAAATACTTAAGAATCCAACCCTTGAAAATAATTCCACTTTGAGATACTATCATTAAAAGTCAGGAATGTTTATAAATTGATTTATATGATTTCTGTTTCTCACATGGAAATGATGTAACATAGATTTAAAACAATTTTAGAAGTGTTTCTAAAGTTTTATTATGATTGCAATACAAATGGACTGACAAGTGTAATAGTTAAACTGAGATTTTGTCTCAACGTCTAGTCCTTTAACTTGTCCCAATATGGTAATATAGCATTTTTTCCCCTGACTTGCCCTTGCTTTCAGATGGAAAGTTTGAAATGGACTTGAAGTCTATGATCTGTAAAATAACTCTAAGGAACTGTTTACACTACATACTCTGCAGACCCTAAAACAGCGAATTACCCAGCAAATAAAATCAACAGTCCACAGCTGTGTTGAAATGTATTCAGTAGTATACTGGTAAACTCCTGCACAATGCACTGTATTCTGAAGTTACAACACAAAATGTTACCACCTTAGTAGGCTTAACCTAATAATGATTAATAATTAAATAACTTAATTCAGTGGAAAACTTTTTTTTCCAAAAACAGAGGTCGACATTACCTTCTGCGGTTAAGGCATGATTGCACTAATTCTTGACCAAATCCATTACAAAATCTTTGACTGTCGACATCTCCAAAACTGGATAAAAGATGTACAGTATGTTTTTTTACTATTGGTTTTATTTGGTTGCTTTATTGTTTGTTTGCTTTGTGTTTTTGAGGGTGTGTACCTTTGCACAGTGCTTCTGTGCGAGAGCTTTTTGAAAAAGGCATAAATGATTTATGATTGTGGTTATTATTGTATGTTTTACTGAGTTTAAAAGTGTTTTGCCATTAACAACTTTGTAACAAATTAAACGTGTTTACCCAACTTTATTATTAACCTACACTTTGACCTGGCTGTTACAGCATCAAACAATAGAATAATATATTTCGAAACTGTCATTCTTTAAATTAGGGTAACATAATTTTTATTATTGTACAATTATTGTAGAGGAGCAAGTATCTTATTTAATAAGCAGAAAAAAAATTCTAAAGGCTTCCTATGGCGCTGCGGCTAAGTAGAAGGAACTAAAAAATATGCTTTTACCCGGAAGTTGTGATCCGCCATATTGGACTAGATAGCTCCATGGAGACGCTAGCGGCCTGTAGAGTTTATCCAGTAAATACGTAAATGCTATTATAAAAAGTGTTAATAATCATATATGATAGAGTTTAAGCGATGATATGGGACGTTCAGGATTTGTAGCTACAATGTAGGGTCCGATAAAAGCACTTAAGGGTGAGTTTCGTTTTTCCAATTTTTATATGTCGAAAGCGCCAAACATCTTCTAAACCGTGAAGAAAAGTAATACTGGTATATAAAACGTGTTCGCATGTAGTGTTTGTTTTATTCACACCAAACGATTTATTTGGTGCAGGGTTGTTAATGCGTTTACACCGGAGTGCCGTTTATTTTTTTCCATTTCCTCCACCAATGTGAAGCGGGGCTGGGAAGGGTTCCGTGTGCCGCGCAGGTGTTATATATATATGTGTGTGTGTGTGCTCGCTTTCGTTATATAAGTCGTGCTGATTTATGCTATTACCGTCTTACTGTTGCTTCAAAGTTAATTTTATACATTGATTTACATCGTATTTAGTCGAAGCTCGTGGTTCCGCTAATTCCTTTTTATTTGGATCAGGACAAGCTGATAAGGGTGTATTCTCAATGTTAAATATAAATATATGGAATATAAAGCTATACTATTGCAAACAATGCTGCTTTTAAGTTTTGCATAATTTGTAATCCTATACTACCCACGGATGCCAATTTGCTATATTTTACATGTAACCCAGTTTCTGTAGGGCCTGGCATCTCCTGGGTTTTGTTTCATTCAGGCTCTGCTGTGTATTTGATTTTATTATTGTTAAGTGCAGAACTGCATCATTATAACCAGGGTATGTATTGGTGTTTTGTGGATAACCGTACCTTCAGTTAAACTGAAGTGAACGTTTTGAGTAATCAGCTGGAAATGACCTCAAGGAACATCCTATATAGAGAGAACGAGCGGAAGAGGGAAAAATTTTCAGAGGTAGGAACAAAAACATGAAGCTACCAGTCCCTGTTCTGAACTGTGCTCTGTGATGCATTGGCGTCCATTTAAGGCTGCAAGTCTGTTTTGCGTTAAATACGACGGGCTGATGAAATTCTTGTGAGGATAGCGTCTTAACGATATACATCCCTCCGTTATCTGTGATACACTGGATATATTTCACCAGAAGCACAGATTCGCATATACACGCAAGTTCCCGCGGTTGTGTGTGCATTGTCATCTGATCACTTCCTGCTTCTAAAACTCTCATGTGCGTGTTGCATCTTAATATCTGGGTTCAGAAAGCAATCATCTTAATGACTTTATAAAACCTTGAAATTAACTTCCCTTTCTTGGGTATTAATTCAGTTGCATATTAATTTTGTCTTTTGCCGTATGTAATGTAGTTAGACAAACGCTGTGAACTAGGTATTTCCCCGATTTGCGTGTCTTGTACCCAGAGCCCAGCATTCAGTCCTGCTGAAAAGGGTTTATTTGTTGGAAGAAAAAACAACCTTCCCCAGCTCTGTGTGTTATTTCCTGATGGGCTCAGAGTTTCATTTTCTGAAACAGACAGCCTTCAAATTAAAGTATAAAAATTAACAATATGAAACACATGGCTTCCAAAATTGTTAATTGAATATGTTCCCTTTATATTAGGGTCCAGCAGATTTAAATCTAAATGTTTTCATCATGGTGTCATTGCATTTTTTATTAAATTATTTATGTAGACCAGATTTTCTGTGTATCATGCTAGTATCATCCTTGTGTAATATTGTGTTGTATAAATCTGTATATTTGTCCTTGTATTGCTTCCAGAGTAATAACATTGTGTGTAAGCATATGGTGGATCTAGCGCTTCTAAGTACATACAAGTTGTACTCTTTTTATAAACTCTTAAGGCTCATAAAAAGCCTCAGAGTATTATCCATGTTCTGAAATTTGCATCTTTCGAGGGGGTGCTATTGAAAGCTGAAACTCGAAATGCCCCTTCCTGAACGCACAGTAATAACAATCCTTGTGGCTCATCAGGATGTAGCTTATCTTGGCTTCTGTAGTCATAAGCTAGCTGGCTGCAAGTACATGGCTCGTTCCTGCTCTGCCACAGGGTTACCCTCAGCAGTGACGGTACATCTTTGTTCAGCCGAGTGAGCTGGACGGAATCAGGATCAAGTACCTTGCTCAAAGGTACAATGGTAGTACCTGTGTGATACTTCACTGCCCACCCATTGGCAGCAACCTTTTTCCTTAAATAAAATCTTTCTCCCCCCCGGCTCTTGCTTTGCCTTGATCTCTTTAATTTTGTCACATGGGAACTCGTTTAAAAGAAAGATCTTTCTGAAAGATGATGGAATAGAATTAGGTATTTTTATAAATGGATTTACATAATATTTCATCCACCCATCCATTTTCTGACCGCTTTATCCAATTCAGGGTCACAAGGGAGCTGGAGTCTATCCCGGCAAGCAAAGGGTGCAAAGACAGGGTACATCCCAGATGGGACACCAGGCCATTTGAGGACAAACACACGCACATCAGGGCCAATTTTCCTAGAAGCCAATTAATCTACTGTCTTTGGACTGTGGGAGAAAAGCGGAGCGCCGGGAGGAAGCCCACGCAAACACAGCAAGAACATGGAAGCTCCACACAGATAGTACCCCAGGGTTGGAATTGAACCCAGGGTCCTGGCACAGTGAGGCAGCAATTTTAATCACTGTGCTGTCCTATGATATTAAATGAGCTCTGAAAAGATAAACAAAAACATTAGAGTTTTGCATATTTTGCACATATTTTATTGTTTTTACAGTGACTATGATCAGCACATTTTGCACACACCTATGTACTTATTTATATTTATTTATCTTGTTTGTCTTTTGTTTTATAACTATTCTGATGTCTATTTTGCTTGTCTTGGGCTGGACTTCCCTACGGGATTAATAAAGTATTATCTATCTAGATTTGATAGTCAAGTCTGCCATCTGCAGGCTAGACTCATGTAGTGCAACTTTGTGGCTTTAAATACCTCATTATTATTATTTCAGTCTGAACTGAGAGGCCCCAGGTGACATGGGTTTCTCTGCCTTGCAAAGGTAGAAGTGGATAAGGTGTGCTCACTTTCAGGGACTTCTGTTGCAGCATGACATTTTAAGAAGGCTTGCTTTCTGACAATTCTTTTCTTTAATTTCAAAGCAAACACTGTTAGATATCTGAGAATTGAGGAGTAATGTCTTCCTCTGATCTCTGTGATTAAATTGATTTTTTGTTTTGATGTATTGTGCATATATCCTTCACAAATGGTCATAATAGTTAAGACATTAATTCCATCATGGTTTCACTTGGCCACAGCATGTGTAGGGTGTATTTACATCGCTTTTTTTAGCGTGTAAACATTGTTCAACATGTCACTTGTATTGAAAATTGAGCATGTATTTTTATACTGTTTTTAGAGTGGGTGAGGTTATCCATAATAAACTGTTAATGATGTGTTCTAAAGACATTTGCTCCCCCACACCTTTGTCCTCCCACTCACTCTCACTAGTTTGTCAAGACATTCCACTTTCTTGGAAATCTAGTACATTACAAATCTTTGTTCTAAAGCCTTTTGAGCCATATACATAGTTCCTACTGACACACTCTTCTATGAAGTGGCATCTTTCAACAATGTAGGTCCACTGGCAATAAAAAATTGTGAAATATATTTCTGGGGAAGAGGTTTTAAGTTACCATGAAGTACACAGTTAAAAGAAATGGGTCTTTTAGGTCAGTGTGAAGTGCTTTATCTTATGTAGCGTGAGTTCTTTCCTTTCTTTGGTATTCTTTGGATTACATGGCTGGTTACCACTTGACTCAGCTGTTCCTGTTGCTTTCTCTGACTAATGTCACCCATTGTTGCCCTGCATGCCCTAACATGTCAGGAAAGGGCTCTTTCCACTAGTCCTTTACTGATCTGGCTGCTGAGATCTAGAAGAATCACATAGCTAGAATGCAGAGAAACTCTGGAGGAAACCGTTGTTTCCTGTGCAGGTGCCATCTCCAATACTTTTGCTTCCTAGAACTGAATTTTTTAAAATATATACTTCTTTTTTCTCTTCATCTTTATCTTGGTGTTTATGCCTAATGTCTTTTTTATAATGTCTCCACATTCCATGACGCCGAGTATACTTTACATCAGGCATGCTTCTTGTTTAAAAGTATATGCGGGGGGCGGGGTTAAAAGTTTAAAAGTTTGCACTTTGTGGGTTAGTGGGGGGCTTACTTTGGCAGTTACATAAAACAGTTATTGATTTTTTTTTTCCTCAGAGCTATATCACTGCCAGCCATGACCACAGCATCAACCTCAACGCAATATCCAGCCTCAAACCCATCATGCAGGTTATTACCAGGGGACAGCAGCCAGGTAAGAGGCTGTTTGCACAAATTAATGTGGTTTACCGATCGGATGAGAAAAAAGGTGTTGGGTACTTTGTCAAAGATTTTCTCACATTAAAATGCAGCCTCGTCGTACGTTTTTTTTAAAGTTAGTGCCACAGGCACAGGATGTGGTTTGATTATAATACACTTCATCTTAGAATAATGTTTACTGCACAACAAATTGATTTGGGCAGGGTATGCATTGTTGGTACTGTGCTTGTTTTTTCATGCATTGCTTTTGTTGGAAGAGATTTTATCTAGTTGCACTTTTGAGCTTGTTTTCTATTGGCATGCTCATGTCTTTTATATAAGTCATTGAGTACATACCGTTTGTGTATCTTAACAGGTACATTTGTATGGACAGATCAGGTACTCATATGCATGTATATTGAGGTTTAAATGTGTCATCAACGTTGCCCTTCATATTACAGATAAGTTTCTGAAAGTTTCACATGCTTGATTTTATCTTTGAAGAAACTTTAGCAAATCTAGGACTTTGAATAATGAGGTCTGCTTTGGCAGTGTGACCATGGTTGTCTTCTGTGTCATGTTGCAGGTGCAGCCCAAGGCTCCACTTCTGCATATACTGCACATGGCCGGTGCTCAGGAGGACACGTTTACACTGAAGGAGGTATGAGGGATCACGGCTGAGAGTGAGGTTTCACACTAGTCTCTCAGCCACTTGTCACTGTGAGCCCAGTATTTTTGTGTTGTATTTAGATTTTTAAATTGTTGTTTATTTGTTTTACCCATTCAATTTGGAATCAACGGTTTTGCTTATGATTCATCCCTTGGCTTGCTGCAAAAATTCATTTGACCATTTTGGCCACCCATCTTTTGATACGTCGCAGGCAGCACCACCTTATCTTAGAGATGTAGATTGAATGAGAGGCATGTCCCTCGCTGCACGCCTGCTTTGCTGACGGTTAAGAGATCCTTGGATGACTGTTTCCACCGTACTCTGAGCGGTGCTAAGCCGGTTGAGCTCCACAGCTTGGGGAATCCTGGCCACAGTTGGAAAGTAACGTCACCCAGGCTTGAACCCACAGCACATGGGTCATTTTAGAAGTTGAGCCTCTGAGGAGTCTTCTCTGAGTCCAATATTAACATGATTTTTAAGGTGTTTTAACCCTTGGGGGTCTTCACAGTTCAGGATTCGGGGAGCGGAGCAGGTGAACCTGTGTTATCAGGTCATTCTTAATAATGCATTCCAGTGAAAGCTATGGGTTTAAGGTCACTTGTTTTTAATATATAAGGAATAGTAAATAAAACCTCCCTAATCATGTTGCTCCCTGCAGGTCATGCACTACCTTGGACAGTATATTATGGTGAAACAACTGTATGACAAACAGAGGCAACATTTGGTTCATTGCCAGGATGATCCATTGGGTGAACTGCTGGAGGTGGAAAGCTTCTCTGTAAAAAACCCAAGGTGAGCAATCCATGTTGGATATTAAATGTAAGTTACATAAAAAAAATGTGTTACAGTAAGGGATATTTAAATATTGCCATCAAAAGTCTAACAACTTGATGGAAGCTAGCTTTACTGTTTTTTTATAAAAAATTCAACCTTTTTAATTTTTAACATAGCAAAAATATTGCAATGAAGGTTAAAGTAAAAAGATATCTTGTTTTGTTCTTCTAACCTTTAACTTAAGAAAAGAATCGCATCTTTAAAACCAATCTACTTTTTAAAATTAGTATATAGCAAGAATGGGAGTGTTTGAAAAAAATGTTTTAAAAATTTGTACGACTGCTCTTTTCACAGCCCTGTATATGAGATGCTCAAGAAGAATTTAATTGTCCTGAATTGCACAGGTAGGCAATGCCTCCAGTTTCTTAAGATTTTGCTTAATATGTACAAAAACAAAATCCAAGAGGTTTTTGGGCTGACATTAAACTTCCAAGCATGGCAAACACAAAAGGCTTCCCTGGTAACGTATTAACAGATTCATTTTGTGTTCATTTTGTAGTAAAGACACAGTCCACCCTAAAGAGCATGTAGTTCTGCTTTGTTTTGTTTCATTTGGTATCTTTTAGTGTGTGATTTTGAGTGTGAGCATTTTTTTGATTGTAGTGTTGGAAGAGGTATGAAACTGTGGTGAGCTGATGAAATTAGATCTCTAGGATAAGAGACTGTATTTTTTTTCTTTTAACAGCAATGCGGCTATGATGGCCAAAAAGCAGAAGCCTAGTAGCTGTGTGTTGTTCTGAAAGATTGTGTTGTGAGATAAGTAATTATGGGGAAGGATTTTTTTGTTTGTTCCCGTGTTTTATCTGAAATGCAGACGCTGCAAAGACACTTTCTGTCGCCAAGGATTCAAATCATGTGACCTCAAGCGAAGATCCTGGTCAGGTAACAATCGAGCATGGTGCTTTGGAGAGGCAGCCCTTTTCCCTTTTTCATGGCAAACAAAACTTTCGTTATGAGATCTAAGCGAGTTTAGTTTTTCTGGATTTACTTGAAAGTGATTTGAAATCGCCTAGGTACAGCATATGTATCTGTCAACACTTAGTTATGTGAAAAGTAGGAACTAATATGACAATATAGTTTGTTATAATTTCTGTATTGTATTGCTTTAACGCCTGTAAAACTGTTCATAAACTGTTATGTGTTGTAGCCTGATCCTGTTAGATCCAGTACTAGTTGCTGCTTTAAGAGGTTTATGTTGCTTGAACAGTAGGCAGCACTCTTCCAACTGGACCAGAATTCCCAAACCAATGCTCCAGTATGGTGACAGAGGACACAGTGCTGTAGGAGGTGCCATTGTTTAGTGAGACATTTAACAGAGGTCCTGGCTACTTGGTCACTAAAGATCCCATGGAACTGTTCACAAGGGAAGGAGAGTAGGAATGTTAATCCAGTATCCTGGCTGAATTCTACTCTGCCCTTGTAAAATCTTGCCTTCTGTTAAGTTTCCCGTTAATTTAATAGATGAAGCATTTCTTCTCCACCTGATCTGCCATGAAGTGGAATTTCTGGTGTATAATGGCTGCTGCTTTTCACTCATGTAGGTGTACTTTACTGGTTGGTGGAGTGGGACACTTCCTGTATGTAAAGTGCTTTGGGATGAAAAGTACTATATGAATGCATGCAATTATTATTAGATTTGATTTTATAGGTTTAGTGTGTTTCATACTGAATAGTATAGTGGTGTTTTTTAGTTCTAGCAATGAAATAGCATCAATACCTCATCTGTTCTATACATTTTTTCCTTCCATTTTGTTGATGTGGATAACTAGGATAAGTGCAGTCTCAAGAGATAAAAATACTTTAATATCAAATTACTTTTCTAAGCGTTTCTAATTTGATGCCGTTCTACATGAAAGTAATGTGAAATCAGGTGGATGTTTGCCATGAAAGAGAGGATTGCTGTCTCTTTGGTTTGATTGTACAGAGTTGCACCGTCTCTGTACATCCCTGTCTCGGGGAATTCTGGTGGCTCTTAAAGGAAAGTACTGTGAAGCTGCCCCTAGAAAGCCACCAGAGACTCCCAGCAGATGGGGGACAGAGTTACTGTCTCTGTTTGTCTCTCAGAGTTCTCTTCTCTGCCACGCTCATTATTTGGGGGGTACAGCAGCTCCTTTTCCACTCAGTGGCTCTATGCAGAACCTTCCTTCCCCTCTACCCAAATAACTGTGACATCCTTTGACTTCAATGAAAGCAAACAGCATGTCTGCAACACCTCTGTCCTTAGTTCTTTCTCTGCGGATGTGTTAACCATTGGTGAATCTAGCATTGTATGTACATTGGGGTTGTGGGGGTACAGTCTGACATCAGTTAAAAATAAGCTATGTATCTGAAAGTGACTATACTTTTTTGTGTTGATAAGCTGTGTTCATGTTAAGGAGTATTTCAGAGTGAGTGGTGGCTTGTTCATCAGATTAGTTAATTTTTTGCAATCTAAATCCCTACTTGAAAGATGTTTAAGTGCTGCTTTTGTTAACTACAGCTTATAAGTAGGCCCTTTCAGAACAACTGTTTTTGTGAGAAACTAAAAGCAAACTGCTGAATCTACTCCTTTGAGAGGGTTTAATATACCATAAAAAGTGAAGTCACTTTGCAGTTCTTGTTTTTTTGTCTTTAACGTGGCATATACATGTAAGTTATCGTAAAATCTTCAGCGGAATCTCATTGCGGTGTGAGAAACTTCCGTCTTTAGATATTTACAATAACAGATAACTAAACCACCCTCCGGTGCTAATCAAGCTTATTAGAATTTGAAAAGGGAGGTTTGAAATAAGTTTGCTAATCGCTTCTTTAAGGTAATACCATATTTCTTTGAGTGTACAGGATGAATTTCCTGTTCATGTTGTATGTTTGGATTGCTTTCGAATTTGCCCCTTCACCTCCACACTTTGGGGTTGCTGACCTGGAAGAGCTGCTGTATCCCCTCTCTTTACTTCCTGGATCTGGCATGCTAACATGCTGTCCCTGCTTGCTCTCTTTCCAACCCTGTACAGACATCTAGCCACCCTTGCAAGCTCAGCCAGGCCTTGGCAGCTGAGGGAATGAGCACCTCCACCACACAGCCTACCTCACATCGCAGACAAAGGGAAACTGATGGAGGTAACTTCATTCTGGGTTCCAAGGGGATGAATGATTTAAAAATGGCAAAACCTGGCATCTTGAAAGTTGAGCACAAGTACGTTTTGTGTATTTGCATTAGGCTTTAAGTTAAGGTGTGGAAAATTCCACATCTATATGAATCTTAAATGTTTAAATATAGGTCAGTGATTCAAGGAGGTTTTTTTTACTTGGAAGGGTCTTGTGCCACTTCTTCAGTTATTCCAGTGTGGTTTTAAAACTAGTTTAAGGTCTTCTGTCTGCCTTCCAGACTCTCTGGATGACTTGCCCAGGTCTGCATGTAAGCGGCCAAAACTGGACGTCAGTTTGGAAGAATGGGACTTATCTGGTTTGCCATGGTGGTTCCTGGGAAACTTGCGCAGTAACTATGGACGCAAGAGCAATGGTTCCACAGACATTCACACCAACCAGGTATGAAGACCCTGATGGCAAATTAATTAACACTCTCATATTTGCATGCTAAGTGAGATCACCTGCATTCTTTTCCTTTCGTAGCTGGTTCAATTACATGTCAAGAGTCTTATTCAAATGTTCTGTTTTTAAGATCTAAGGTTATAAGTCAAACCTAATAGAAAATAATCTCTGGGGTTTTTAAAGATTTGAGATAAAACATAATGGAGGATTTTTTTGTGCATATTGTGTCATAGATAAGAATTTATCATGAGCAAAAATTATCAGACATTGGAAGATTTTGATTTTCCTATTTGAGCTTGAATGATACCCTTTGAATTTTGTAAGCTTTGTATTGTCATTTGATCTTTTTTTTCCATGAAAAATTATCATTTTTCGTTACAGAAAAGAGCGTAGTTCATTCAAAGCCATTAATCAGCCTGTAGGGTTTAATGATTCAGAGTTCTTGCAGGCATACAGTGCTTAGTTGGCCTTAGGTATTTATCATTTGAAATAGCCTTCAAAACAGTTTAAAATGTACAGTTATGGCATCAGAGAATATAAAAATCAAATACTAAATAGAGGGAAAACTCCCTGATATTATGGGGAAAAGAAAATAGGAGGTTTGTTGCACAACTAGACTGATTAGGCAGCTTTCTCCCGGCCAGGACGAAGACACTGCCATTGTGTCAGACACTACTGATGACTTGTGGTTCCTGAATGAGGCTGAGAGTGAGCAGGTCAGTGTGGAAATGAAGGAAGCAGCCTTGGAAAGAGGAAGTGATGGAGAGGAGGAGGAGGAGAAGAAGGAGTGGGACAAGGAGGACAAAGAGGTGGGTTTGCTTATACTTTCATTGTATCCCTGTTGTAATGTCAAACACTTTAAGCAGTGTTAAGTTTCTAGGAAGCTATATTTAAGCAATATTAATGGCTTAAAATGTCACTTTTGGGTGCACAGCACTGTGCTCTGTTTGTCAGACAAGGCTATTGTTTTAACAGCTAAACTCTGTTTCACATTTAGCTGTCAGATAAAGTGCTCTTTACTAAGTTCACATTTTCTCTGTGCAGTCCTGTTTTGGAGGCAAGAGTCTTTTTACGGTAGAATTTAATGCACGTAAAACTTAAGGGATCTTTGGTACCTATTGTGTTTGAAAGTTTCTGGCTGCATTTATACCAAGCCTGTGAATTGGAACAAATTTGGCAACAGCACAACACCACTTCTTTCCCGCGATTGTGATTCCCCTTCATCTTGTGAAACCCAATTTCTGAAGTTCACAGGTTGAGAAAATGGAATGACGCACAAGCCTGTTTTTTAACATGGTACAGCTTTCATGCTTCTCAGATGAATTGGTTAAGCCAGTTTATCTTGTACTGAAGAAAGTGGTACACCACAGGCAAGCAGTTTGCTTTCCCCATGTTGCAGGTTTACTTTACCACTGGTATAAACCATGTTATTTTCTTTTAAGTGCAGTTATGCAATTATAACATAGTAATGAAAGAAATACAGTAGTCTTGGGTGTCAACTTGTGCTCATTTTCATTTGTATCGTTTACATCATTTACACACTTTGTACTCTTGTTGAACACTTTTTTTTAGCCATCATTTGTTCAAGATGAGCTGTTTGGATTTACGGTTATTAGAATTTGGTGCAGATTACGATAGATGATAATATAGATGGTGCTTCCTGTATGTATGTGTGCTGGACTGTGTAGATCTGAGCTCTGCCAGTCCATTCCCTCAATCGTGCTCTGTTTCAGATGCAGGATGATCTGGATGAAGATTCTCAGTGTCTGAGTGATGACACGGACACAGAGATTTCCACACAGGTCTGTCAGTTTTTTATTTTTAAGGACTCCTGCCATATAATTGTTTTCAAACAGATAAAAAAAAATCTCTCAATGAGCTGCAATTATGTTAGCAGTGACTATTCTCATACTTCAGCCTTTTTGTTATTGACTTTCATATAACAAATGAAAGTCAATAACATATAAACTTGACTTTATGTCAAATTCTTTAAAGCTGTGGTGGGATGTTCAGTGCAGCTTGTATGCATGTTGTAAAGGAAGTATCTGGAGTTCTATATACATTTTCTATTATTTTACATGACATTTAAAAGTGACCATTTTTGATGTGGAAGCCCTTTTTTTAAAAAAACAATCATTCACCATTGTTGACCTGACTTGTAGATGTTTAAATTGTTAATAAGCAGAGAAGTCCAAAGTTAGCTTATCTCTCCTTCTTTTAGGATGCCTGGCAGTGCACAGAGTGCCGCAAGTACAACTCCCCTATGCAGCGCTATTGTGTTCGCTGTTGGGCACTGCAGAAGGACTGGTACAAGGACTGCCCGCGGCTTGTCCATTCTATTTCTGTGCCAGACATCCCCACTAGCATGGGTGCGCAAGAGGACGGAGAAGACGATGGCATCGACATCCCAGACTGCCCCCGGACCGTGTCTGACCCGGTAATCCTCCCTTCTCACAGCCTCGAAAGACAACGGCCAACTGACAAAGGAAAGGGGCGTCTTCCCAGGGATCTTAACCCCAGGTGCTCTGTTTATGGGCCCACGGGGATCTCGGAAGGGCTGGAGAGTTCTGAGGGAGACAGTCAGGACATGCTGGACATGGCTCAAACCATGGGTGATAAGCAGGAAGCCATTCTGGAGCCCTGCAAGCTGTGCCGCATTCGGCCCCGTAACGGCAACATTATTCACGGCCGCACGGGGCACTTGATAGCTTGCTTCTCCTGTGCCAGAAAGCTTCACAAGTTCCACGCCCCCTGCCCTGGGTGTGGCCAGGTGATCCAGAATGTCATTAAAACCTTCATCGCTTAGCAGCTCCCTAGACACACACACCCTAACTGTAAGGATATAGCATGTAAGCACACTCATTCCTTTTTATTTATTAATTTATTTTGTTTAAATTAGCTATCTTAATAAAGGCCTATAAAAAGGTACGCAGTTTGAACTTCTTTTGAACTATTTTCAGAGCAGTGTTGTCAACGCTGAAGGTTAGGTTATATAAAAAAACTTAAAGCTGCATTCAGTTGCCTAACCCTTTTTTTCCCAATTTTCTTCAAGTCAAGTCCAAACTGGTAAATTAAAGCTATTTATTTATTATAAATGAAAATGTCTTTGAGCAAGCATATTCAAATTTTATTTAAAGTATACCTGAGTTCGTGACCGTAATGTCTGTCTTCTTCCATGTGGCAATGGTTGAGAAGATTAAGAAGGTATGAGACATTTTCTTATTTCAGTATAAATCTGAGTGAGGCCGTGTGAAAAAATACTTTAGAAAAGATATTGGAAAAGATGTATTTAGTTTTCTTTATAAACAGTGACTACTGCAAAGAGTACAGTTTGATTTTCTACAAAGTATTTCAACATGCAGTGAAAGACCTGTACCCTAAAGCTCTGCAGTACTCAGTATTTAATTAGCATGCTTAAAGCAAAAACAGTTGCCAAAATATTGTTTTGGTACACCTTACAGAGTGTATTAAAGAGTTACCCAAAATGTAGCTTGCATGTTTACTTTCTTAAATCTCATGTCCTGCTATTGTACTTGTTTTCTTACCTTCTCGTATGATTTTATATCTGTTTAGTTCATTGCAATTGAGAGCTGAGAAATAGAGTACTGGCTCATTGCTGTGGACTTAGCTGCTTGGTGTTCAACATGTACAGTAGCGTAGTTTCTGAGGTGCTGGACAGTGAAGTACCTAACACTTATTAAGACAATGTAGGCTATAGTGTCAAACCCTTAACACCTGCCTTCATTCAGTTGGACTTAAAGCGCATTTTAATGTTCCTTTTTTTTCATTGAGTTTCCTAAATTGCTTTTTTCCAGAATGTATTTAGGGCCCGTAACGGTGATGTTATATCTTTTTGAGAAGTGTATTTTTGTCTTCACGCTCCTTTCACACAGTTGGCTGCCTCAGCCGAGAGCGTAGTTCTCAAGCAGTAACCCGAGCGAGTTGGGTAACATCAGCGGTTTTGGTTTCCCTCGTTGCTGTAGGCAGTCTAATTTTATCTCTTTTGTTTTCAGTCGTATGCTTTTTTTTAAAGAGTCTGTGCATTGTTGAGGAAGGGCAGGGGGACAACAAAAGCAGCAGTACTTCCAAGTTGTGCAAGAGCTAAGTGTGAACCACAGGTTCCTCCAAGGTTTGTGTGTTTGCTGTCACTTGTGTGCAGGACCAAGTTTAAAAAGCCTGGTGCTAAAGGTGGTGGTGTTCAATTGTGCCGCCTAATTCTCAAGACAGTTGAATTATTCTCTCCAGTTCTTTTATCCTAATCGACACTTCAGTGTTTAGTGTGTGTCCTTGGTGATTTGACCTACCCCCACACTCTTTGTTGCACATTTTTAAGAGGCCATTCTACAAGAGTAACAGTTCAGTGGCAACCAGCTGCTTCTGACCAATTTGTCTGAACTGCTTGTGGGCATTTTTTAAGTATGATTTTGTGTTTTATTTGACTTAATGTTCTGCCTACAGATGAGAATACTTAAGAGCAATTGAGCATGGAAGCAGACTACATTAGGAATCAATACTGATTTGGCTACTCAAGGCTCTCAAGTCCATATTTACAATATGACTGACTGACCATGAGGTGATGCCCCCTGTGACCTGCCTTCATTATAACTCACTGTGCTGTTCTCCCATAATTAATGTTTCTAGTTGGAGTCTATACAGACTGTTCCACTGAAGAAAAAATGAAAGCATCGGGGTTAGTGTTGATTCTACTGCATTAGCTGACATACAGTATACAGTAGAATCCATGTCTACATCCAAAGGTAGAGAATGTGTGTGGGACATTTGGGACTTGGTCTAGAACATTTGCTTGCACTTGAACATGAATGCAATGAGTTTCACAGAAGTCCTCACGCCATGCCTAAGATACAGACTTTCTACAGCATTAAATGTTACCTTCTTGTACGGAACCTTAAGTTAATTGCAAAATGAAAAAATGTGGTGGAGAAAAACGCCGTTTATTTCATAATGGGTGTCTTTCACTGTGTGGTATTAATGACATTTATTTTTCAAGTTCATCTGTTGCACTGTTTTTCATTTCTTTTGTACAGTACCTTGTCCGAAAGCAGCTCATCACAGCCTAATTAAACCAGAGTGTGGTCTAGTTTTTGGCTGTGAATCTAATTGTGAATAGTTCAGACAGTTCATCTTGATTTACCACTCGCATTTCACTGCCAATTTAAATAGCCCTGCTACAGCTATTGTGATGTGTACTTTATAAAATTGAGGTTGAATTTGTGGGCTTGTACATTCATTTGACAAATACCCTTGCAGTTGCGAAACCTCTTTGTTTTTGCTGAAGATAGACTTGGATGAAATCCACTACGTCCCAGTTGTAAATTGTAAACTTGAGTATTTAATGATGACAGTGTTATGTTAAATGCTTTCTTCTAGAAATACCTACATCAAGCTGTGGTTTTGTGATTTTAGGTTGATGGTTGGATTGATATTTTGATTTTGGGAGGGTACAAAAAAGCTACATCAGTCAGGAAAGTAAGAATTGATTGGTTGCTCCTCTGCCGCTTTGCTTTTTGTGGAAAATAGTTGCTTTTTGAACATGTGATATCTTAATGGCAATGCTAAACAGGACTTGTGTTGCTGTGTTACAGATGCTGTTTATATCCAAGATTGTGGAAAATTGAGAACTTGTTGTAATTCATAATTGCTGGTTGCACTACAGGATACCTAACCGCAAGGAAGATTCTGCACATCCTAGCCTATATAAAAATGTAACCCATCAGTCACAAATTAATGACTCAGTATCTGATGGTGGTGATCTGTTTGTCAGAGGCTCCAATCTTCTATCCAGAATGATAAACCAACATGAATGTTTTGGATTTCAAACTTCTAACTGCCAGGGGGCATGACGTATTTGAGTTAATCACATTTTAATAGAGGTCTCTATTTTTCAAATGTTTAACTCGTCTGTATCATGTTGAACAGGCAAAGAAAGGATTCCTTCTGTCACTTCCAGGCACCCTCAGCACAATTCCCACGTGTTGCTCCTCAACTCTTCTCAATGCTTAACCACTCTTATGTTGGGCACTTGTTTTTTTTACATATCTTTAGTAATTTTCATGATCAAGACAGGACAGGAACTATAAAAGAATTTTTAGCTTTGGATTTGCGATGATTTCATGCAACCAAGAATGTTATGTTATGCTGCACTTTACTGGAAGAATGGCTGGGCCTGGCCCTCTATGCCACCTTTACTGCCATGTCCCTGTACACCATTGAGCACCAGAGGAGTGCAGTTGCTGGTGTTACATAGTACCCAGATTTTCCCTTTACGTTTGTTTTCTGATTTCTCGGCTCATTCACTGCCATAGAGTGTGTGACAGAGTGGATGAAATGAAAATCTCACCGCCTGTATTATTAAACACATTTACTGCAAATCATCACTGCCATGTTTAGATAATTCTTTGCCGTGTTAAGGGAATCAGAAAAATCTTATCTGTGGCTATGAGTATTTTTTAAAGTGCTGCAATACCCTGTTCATGTTAAATAAAATACAATAAATGTTGATTTGCATTCAGTTTGACTTTGTTCATTTTGTGTTTGATGGTTGGTATGTAAGTGAAAAAACAGTCTGGTAATCCTGCTAAACTAAATAAATATATTCCCATTTTTTCTTTAACACTCTAGCTGTCTTTTCCCACTGATTCCTTCCACAGAGCTAGAAGAAAGCTTTGTCTGCTATGTGCTCTATCAAAAAGGATTAGCTGGAAGTTTAGTTGGACTGTTTGTATGAAGCAACCCAGTGGATTTATCTTGTTTCTGACTAGGGAGGTTATTACAAATTTAGAAAATGAGAGATTTTGCCCTGGTGTGTTCTTGTTCTCAGACTATCCTCTGCCATGGGCTTGTCAACCTGGCCAGGTGAGTGTGCAAGCTCTGTGTTTGTGTGTCATTCACAGCACTGCAAAACAGTGTAAACGGCAGCTGAGTAATATTTATAATAGCTTTGGTGATGAAGTAGTGCGTTACTGGGTTCATTTCTGGGAAGGTAGGGCAATAAGGGTGACTGCATACAAATATATGAATGTATACATGAAATAAACACACAAAATACTTTTCCGTGTATGTATTGTTTGGGGTCTGTCCCATCCAACGTGGTTGTTTTCGTATGTATTATAAAAACCAGTGCAGCTTGCTGCCTCAATGCTGCAACTTGTGTGTCCAATCACATATATATATAGGTTAATAATGGCATGACCTCCAAGAACCTCATTGTAAAACATGGGTTAACTAAGTGAATGACTGTGATTTCTGTTGCCATTTTGTAATGTTTCTACATGTATCCATATTTTGATGTGTTGATTGTGAAAAATCAAAACGTTTTCTTGATTTCTTCTGCTCTTTGTAAGAGAGATCGAAGAAGGTTGAGTCCTGCCAGCTCAGGTGCAGCTTTGCCCCACCTGCTTTTATAGCATGTCTCATATTTACAGAAGGAATGTCGCGGCACCTTTCCAGTTGAGAAAGTGGGGGTTGTGTATATCAGATTCTTCCAAGGACCGAAAGAACCAAGCATAATGCAATATGCAAATTGGAGAAATTATGGATTGTTAAAAACGGGTATAGAGAAATAGATCAGAGGGGTGTGAAATATTTTCTTGCTTTCACTCATGGATCCCAAATGTCCATTAAAGACATGAAAAAAGAGGTATCCCATTCAAGCAGGCGAGCTTGCATAAACCTAGTGTCCTGACTGGATCTCCTGTACAGGTCAGTAAAATTATTGTTCTTTATTCTTATATTCTTACACCCCCCCTCAAATGTTATCAAACTATGCTCAGCTTGTGTATTGAAGTATTGTGGTTTCAGTATGTTATATGCTTCGTTTTCAGTATATTCCTTCTTCTGGTGTTGATACCGTGCGTCTGCATCCCTATTCCAGTGTTGATATCCACCAGGTGGCGGTAAAGGTCCATTGATTTTCTTGAAGAGGGCAGCAAATGTAAAATTTCTATTTTGTTTTATATAAGGTAAATAAAGCTGTTGGTGTGAGTCAACAAAGGAAAGATAAGGAAGCACTTCAGTAGGCTGAATGATAGAATCCATTTGATGAACTCTTCAAGGGGGAAGGGGTTGCTAGGAAATAGCCTCTATAGCTATTGAGCCGAAGGTTACTGATGAAATTTCACCACTAATATTTTTTGCAGTGTAACTGAAAGCTTCATTACTGTAGATCATAAGTGATGAATTATGTATTTTACTGCAAAAAAATGTTTTCCAAAAGGAATAAAAAAGGACAGCAGTGCAAGCAAAAAGAAAATGAACGAAACCCAAACCAGCCTGTTAATGAAAGCATTTACTTAACCAGATGTTTTTCTTGTTTAAGCATTTTAAATGAACGCCCCCTGTTACGCTTTTCTTTGAAGATCTGTGTCAGTGTGTGTGTGCACGCTCGCTCACACATGTGCATGTGTACGGGAGCAAGCATGTGCGCTCTTCCTCCCCAGGGGCCAGTGGAGACGTACTCGGGGTTTAATGAGATCGTCTCCCTAGAGGCAGACCTGTTTCCCAAAAGGAAACCTTGTTCCTCCTCTAATCATTCGGTAATCCGTTTCCATTCCAGGTCAGTGCTTTAATGGGAAGGGGGGTAGTGGGGACATCAGGTGATATAAGTGGACCTGACGGGCTGTAATATAAAACTGATCACATACACGGCTGCAGCCAGGGCCTGTATTAAATCTTACATGGCGTGCTCAGAAGACCAGGGCTCTTGGCATGTTGTGAGCAGTAGAACACAACAGCCAGCGTGCTTAGGAGATGGTTTATTGGACAAGTGACAAGAAGGATGACAGGAACCTTAATAAAAGATGAGATCACGTTTTTGAAGCTTTTTCACCATACTGAGTTGCCTACCACCGCGCTACATTTTGCCTGTACGCTGCTGCTGTTCCCCCCCGAAAAGGCTTCGTGTTTTGTGTTTAACATGCAGTAGGCGTCATGTTAAGGTGGCCATGCTTATTCCAGCACCAGCTGTGTTCATGCTGTGTGACACTGAGGAAAATCGCTCGGCTAGTAACAGGTGCCAAGAATGTTGTGGCACTGTACAGCTACAGACCTGAGTAGGCACTTTCAGCACACCTGGGATGGCTGCAATCTGGACATGGAATCTCATGTTTGCACAGTGGTTTTATACTGCCTTTAGCATAATGTGTGGCTGGTGTTAAAATGTATTTGTTTTTACTTTTTCAGACAATATAATTGCTTGGAACGGTCGTGGAGTCTGTTTTAGTGACCTGCTGCCTGTTACTCTGAGCAAGTTAGCCACCTTCGGATGAGATGTCCAAAGACCTGTGGTAAATGACTAGCAGCAGCAGCAGCTGTTGATTTTTACCTCCAAGCTTCTGCTTGTCGCTTTGGATAAAAGTGCCAGCTAAGTAAGGTTAGCAGGCAAAATAAATGTGTTTTGGATTTTGCTACATAAGGATGGTTCTTGTGGTTATAGAATACCCTGGAGTTAGTGTTTATCCTTGAACGCTACAGGTCTGATTTCATCTGCACAGTCACTTGGCAATAGAGGCTAAGAACAGGATGGAGCTGGGGTCAAACTAAGAAGGAGAGGACCTAGGTAAACATTCAACTCCCCTTCCATTGCCTGAGTTAATCCACTGGCAGATCCACAGGTCCTTTAGCAAATTTGCAGTCTTCAGTGCTGCACTGACGCCACTGTAAGTACAACATGCAGTGATCAATCTTATCCTAACATGCAGTGATTAAGCTTGAAAGAGCTCAGTGCAGGGTGCTTTAGTCAGATTGACGTCTCACTGTAGTTCCTTGCTCATTGTGAGGGACAGACAAATCGAAACGAGTAAGATGATGTTGGTGGTGACGTCCTGTCTCGATTTCTTTGCCTCCTCTTTGCTCTTGCTTTCTGTGACCAGTAGTCCTCCCTGCAGGGCTGCGTTTCCATCCCTTCCCCCCCGCCATTATCACAGGCGCTCACAGACCCGCGATTTAAATATCTTAACCTCGCTGAGGGCCGTGTCTGGCGGCGCAGTAGATAGCCCGGAACGTGGCTGGACACTTGTCTGAAATTTCCTGAAGTAATTGCGAGGAGAGGGATCGGAGCTGGCGATGCTCTCTGCATGCCTGAGTGCTCGAGCATGCAAACCGGGGTCACGGAGAGTGCTCAGACAGCAGAGCTTTCACACACTGTAGTGACTTTCCCAAGCGAGGCCGAGCTCCGGCTGCCTGTGTCAAGTTAGCGGGCACACAAAACTGACCATGTGTCCTGGGGTAAGATGAACGAGGTAAGGGGCACCTCACGGTTAAGAGATAACGCATCAGCAAAGGAGCAAAGCCGCACATCCTTCAGAGATAAGCAAACGCAGAGACCACCCCAGTGGCCTGGTGGATACTGTCGCTTTGCTGGGAGAGTGGTGATATGAGCTGGTGTGTAAAAAGGTGGGGACTTGAAGGTATGGAACATATCGCAGAGCAGGCTGAGGGAGCCCCATTCTGACACTGTAACTCGGGGTCACACTTCAGGGCTGTGATGTGTAGGGATCTGGTACAGCTATGTGGCTAATTATGTCGTTTATAAGGGAAATAGGCGGATGGTGTTGTTTAAATAATGCGTTGGAGACAATAGATTGTGAGAAAAGATCCAAACCTTCAAGACAAGGGCTGCGCTTAAAAGCTAAGACTTGCAGGTAAAGCATTGCTTTTTAGATTCATCCTTGTATTGTAATTTCTCTGCCTCTTACAGCATTGTGTTATGTTTGACTTATTGCAGATTGCTTTTAGAGCATGGGATTAAATTTGTATTACAACAGTTATGGTACCTTGTTTCAGTTATCGTATTATGCCAAATTATTGTTTATTCCTTTTTTTTTACTTTTGCTACTCGACATTCATTTTTTCCAGTTCATTGATTTTCTATGCAGGTCTCCTCAGATAAAAGTGTCAACTAAATAATTAACGGCAAAAATTCTAAAGAGCTTTGGCGCTAGACAGGAAATGGAGCTGCCTGGTTTTCACAACAGCGAAAGTAGGGGACCCTCTAATGCACTGCATGGGGAGCAGAGCCTAAAGTGGTGATGGCGCCCACCCTTTCTCCAGACCAGTCCAGTTCCAGTCCATTAGCCAGTGTCACCTCCCATTTCTCCCTGCTTCCTCGTCCATATTCCATCACCACACGGCTGCACGCCGGCCAGCCTCCTCTTCCCTTATGAGAAAATCAATAGCCACACTAAATAGATTTCACAATCAATTTTTCTATCATTATCCTACACAGCCACTTTCCGGATTTCAAAAGAGGAGGAAGAAAAACAAGAGTAAAACAAAAGAGGTCTCCTATTGTGCTGATTTTTTTTTTTAGTTTTGCAAGATCGTGTTATGTAGTTTGTAAACAATCATTTACCATTGTGGACATTTACATGGGATTTACTCTAGGCTAAATTGACTGCTAATTGCAGTCATAGATAAGTTTTCCATTCGTACAAATGACATACTTTTAATGGTCTATGGAATTGGAATAGTCTCATTTCCTTTTTTATTGAGCCTAGTGGTATGAAGGTAGACTGTGATCTCTAGAGCATTGTGCCAGACGCCTTCTGATTTCTAATTTTGTTTTTTTCTTGTTTTATATCCTTGTAATTTGGAATCGCTGGTTGTTTTGTTTTTGCCTTGGCTCACAGCAATGACTCCTGTGTTGCATGAGGAGAATAAGGAAGGGCAGATATGTTCCTCTGACCTGCCCACCCATCGGGACCATTCATCTTTTGGCATACTGCACGCTTCTCGGTACAGCCAGCACTGACTGGAAGTGCAATGTGTCTCTTAATGACAGCAATGCAAGCATGCAGATGTCCAGGAAGTCGCAGGAGTCGCTGTTTTGCCAAGAGAGTCCTGGCTGACCAGTTCTTGTCTAACCTATGGTACTGCTTACTCTTTCTGCATCACCACTGAATGAAATACGGTCACAGCTGTCTAGTGTCAGGTCCCAGATTATAACCTGGCGACACCTGTTTTAAATAATAAATGAATGGAGAATATCCCATCAACTTTTATCACTAAAAATGTAGGTTCGTTAGAATGATTTTAAGGCAAAGTGACCACGTGAAGAGACAGGGATTGTGTTGTGTGCACTGCACCATGTCCTCCTGTGAATTTGAATCCCCTCTTTGCATGTTTTCTGCATACTTTCTTGAAACAAGCTTTCTCGGTCAAGAGTGTACACTGTGAAGAAGCTCTAGGGAAAGGAATTTCTTTCAGCTCTCCTGGTGCTCATTAATCACTCTTTGATAGCTCCCAGTTTTCTCCGTTTAGAAAAACGGTTTCTAGTGGTAATTGGCATTTATTTCGGTGGCACAATGAAAATGCCCAACCTGGGAGGGTTAAGATCACCATCTGCTCCTGCACTGAAGAGCGCCACACAGACAGCTGGCTTCTCTGATGGAGATTTTACTCTGGCTGCTTTTTTAAGGAGAGTTGGTCTCTGTGTTCTCTGGCAACAGCACCATCAAAGCATGGCGAGACATGGGATCTCAAGGCCTCTTTAGATCTCCCATGGGTAGGTGATCATGTTTATTACTCTTCTTCCGCCACTGAAGTTAAATCCTGGATCGGTTCCAGCTGAGTCCTAGCTGCCTTGCTGTCCTGCCGTGCCTCGTAAGACAGTACTGCAGAGGAGATTCTGGTGAAGTCCAAGCTCGTTCACTGAAGCATCCGTTTACAGTGGTAAACAAAGTCATAAAGGGTTTAGGTGACATAAATAAGAACAAGATTTAACTGTTCTGGAAAGCTTGAACCGAGATTCAGATACTGTGGCCAGGGGAGAATTACCTATAGATGTGAAGTTTTTTAAAGAATTGTTCTAAATGTGTGTATTTGGTTGACAAAATTACAGGACTGCTTAAGTGGAGAAGTTTGTGACTCTTCATGAAGTTATAAGCATTCATAACCACCCTATAAGCTGCTGGTTACTTTCTGAACAAACGCATTGTTTATAACTGACTAATAGCCTCATTGTGATGCTTTAACAGAGCATCCTCATGTAGGAGGTCATGCTTTGTTAAGTGCTTGTGACATGAGTAATATGTGCTTCATCACTGCCTGCAGGAGATGGTGAGGTTTAATTGCTGGTGAGTTGTAAGTAAATGGGCTGTGCAGATCTAATGCTGTACATATCACACACAAGCCAATGCTCAAAACAGTATTATCACGATAGTGTTTTGAATGATATGTTGGTTTTCAAGAGGTGGAAAAGGCACTGGTCAGAGCATAGCTCAGTCGCTATGATCCAGGTGTCGTGGGTTCGAGCCTGGGTCACGTGCCAAGCTGGCTGTGGCTGGGATTCTCCAAGCAGCTGAACGGCTGAGGGCTGCCCTGGCACCGTTGGGATAAGCCAGCTAAGCTCTCTGGGCTCTCTACAACACTGCGAGCCCTGCGAGCACGTGGGTGGTTGCAGGTTTGCAGTGCTGGCAGTGTAGGACTCCAGTTGGGGCTGAGCCTCCGGATGGAGGGCTCAAAGGTGAGTGGATCAGAGGAGCAGGCGTCTCTGAGGTTTGAGCTTATCTGGAAAAACCTCATGACTGGCAGTTTGAAATTGGCTGGGCTTATAACAAAAATAATAATAATTGTGGATTCTAAACTAAGAGAATGGATGTAAGGATGCAATTTGTTTTAATCTCTTCCCCCAAAATTTAGACACTTGTACAGAATATTATCAAAGTGTTGTTAAAGTGCCGCCACTGTCATTGTAGTAATCAAACCATCTGAGTCACTGGTTTCAGTCCAAAATGTTTTAATAATAGCTCAAAATAGAATTTAACACACAATCATCATCTAAATCATTGAAAGAAGAGAAGTACACTCAAGTAGGAAATCCAGAATGGCATATGTACAGGTGTGGGTAAAAAACCTGGTGGGGTGGGGGAGAGATGTTTTTGAAACTAGAAGACACAATAGACCACTTCATTTACAAAACTCGGAGGAAAGGAGGGACACTTCATCACCTGAAGCACCTTAGAAAACAGGAATCCCTTACCAGGTTATAGCTACTCTGGCAGATCCTGATGAGCAATTCTGATTGGGTGATGCATCCTTGCCTGTCTGTCTTGATTGGCCAATAAATCCCGTATGCCATTCTAATGGAGCACAGCCTTTTGTTTGACTGACTGATGCTGGCAGGTTCACAGATTGATTGCTCCCCACCGCCCCCACCAACCTCAACATCTCCACCTCTCCTTTCGCTCGGCTTGACTTCAGACATCTCTTAATCTCAGAACGGTCACAGGTCGCAAGAAGTACACCAGAAAGCATGGACTTCAAGAAGACATGGTGAATAACAGAATACAAGAGCTAGAATTTCAGGAAAAGCAGTTTTTTTTCCCCATCCCTTTGTGCACTCGAGTCAATGGCATGGTCGTCCGTGCCATCCCTGTCCTCCGGTGAGTGCAGCCGTGTTTGATGTGTGGTAAGTGGAAGTGCTTGTAATATTTTCTCCAGCGCTTTAATCTGCGGCTCCCAGAGCCCAGGCTGCTGCAGTCTCAGCAGCTGAACATTTGAAATGATGTTCTAAGTGCTTGCTAGGCAGCAGGAGGCAGGGGCCAGAGCAGAGATTGGGGTGCTGAACAAAAAATGGTCACAAGGCGGCCATCTGCTCCGCTGCGGGGGCAGGGCTCCTGCTGCAGCCCCGCGCTCCGCGAAGTCTTCCCGCGCTTATCTCAGTGTGACATTTCTGCCACTCTCTCTGAGACAATAATGTGCCTGAAAGAAAGCAAGCCTCATGAAGCACGAAGTCCCGCCTGTCAGTTCTTGATTGTAGTTCTTTTTGTCTGTTCGTTTTTCTGAGAAGTCCATTTTCTTTCAGGGAGTGACATTTTTTAAAAGGCAAAGTTCAGCACCCCCCCCCCCCCCACACACACACACACACACACACACACACGCGTTTTAAGCAGGTGTGTGGTGCAGAAATAAACCCAGGATGTAGCTGTGCTCTGCCTTGTAGACTGCTTCTCCTAGACCACAGTCCTTGGTGTGTCCCATCTCTCTGCCGCTCAGAAATGACATGGTCGCATCCAACTCAGAATGAAGGAGTACAGAATGAAAGCACTGTGAGGCAAGGGACCATTTCGAGATTGAACAATTAAGATCTGTAGAGCAGTTCAGCAATTAAGATGGGAAAACTCCTGATTGTGATATCCTCCAAGTCGTTCAGTCGTTAGGTTGGGTTCCGTTCCATTTGTTCTTTAGCTAACAGAATCCCAGGCCTGTCTCCTCTTACTGTACTATACAGTATATCTATTAAAAATAAAAAGGGTATTTCGTATATTTACAGTGGAACCCAACTGATTTCTTGATCCTTGTTAATTAGAATGTGTTTTGAAGTCTTTTTGATAATGTGTAGAATGGCCTGGTTCGTATTTCGCAGGAATAAGTTTAGCAGATTTTCAGTGTGCAAATTCATGTGCAGTTCAGTCCCTTCTTGCTTATGACCACTGTATACTGTATATACTGTAGGCAACTGCATTATTTTGGCTTAGTTTTCTGCTGCTTGCAACTGCATTGGCTGTATTGCAACACTGTGGTCCTGCAGGGCTAATAATTTTCCAAACAATATTACTTTCTCATTTTCAGAATGGCAAAATTAAGCCAGGTAGTGTGAAATATGAATTTAGGTTGGTAAATTTAATCTAAAATACTGTTGGGTACCACTGCATCTATAGAATGTTTGTACTCTGTTAAATATATTTATATATAAAATAAATACAAATGAAGTCTCTTTGTAATACGTTTAGTGATGAACATCCACCCGGTGTTGAGTTTTTTTAGGATGTCTGTCTTGAGCTGGTTGGAAATGCTCGAAAAAGGGTGGTTCCTCCCAGTGATTTCTGGTGTTGATGGCATGTTTTTTCAATTCATGTAGTTTTTTATTTCAGTGGTATTCCCAACTCAGCACAATTCTGCCTCAGATCTCGCAGCATTCTGAGTGTCTCCCTTACTGGTGTGGATGTTGTCAGTGCTGTCCTTGGCTGAGGACTGCAGCTGTGGCTCTGGGACCACGAGGTGCTCCCTGTTTGGGAGCGAAGGAGAGACTTCTGGTTTCTCAGTCCCTTGGTCCCGCTCTCGCCAACTGGATGAGCCGCCACCTTGACAGGCTTTAGCTGCAAGCAGGAGAAGCAAAGCAGAGGCTGCCAGGATAGCTGCTGGGGTGAGGTCAGGCGACGATGCAAGGGTCGTGATCTCTTTAGTCCTGAACTGAATGCAGGTGGTATCATTGGAGCCCAGGTGCAGACACACCTTGTACTGGGTACCTGGTTGCAGGCGGGTCAAGTTGAATCCTCTGGTTCCTGCTAGGATACGCTTGCTGTGCTGGTGCAGATCTTCCAGGCTTCCATTGGCTAACCAGGAAAGCCGGGCGGAGGGCACGTTTTGGCTGGCCGCCCAAGACAAGAGGGCATAGCGCTCCTTCACTTCCTTCAGCTCCAGGCTATCATTGGTCCTCCTGGTGCTTATCATAACAGCATTCCCCACCCCGTCAACCCTTACTGTCACACTGCGAGTGTCTGCACCAACCAGATTCTCTGCCACACAAGTGTAAAACCCCGCTTCTTCCAGGGTGATCCCAAAAATCTCCAAAGTACCCTCAGGAAGGACCTGGTATCGCCCAGAACTTGTGGAAGGAGAGAGCTTCTGGCCTGTTGGTGTGACCCAATAAATGCTCGGTTCTGGTTCTGCTAATGCCCGGCAGTGTAGTGCCAGATTTTCGCCATGTCTGATGCGTACATGAGATGGGAATGTCCCTGGGGCAATCAGAGGCAGACAGCTGTCTGCCATCTCTCTAAAAGAGACTTCTTTTACCCTCCTGGCCTTGAGCTCTGGCGGCTCGGAGCAGAACGTGGATTGGGGTTCGATAAACCGAACAGGTTTGTCATCTTCAGCCCCCACCCAGCGAATGAGACAGTCACAGCGGATGGGATTGGTGTGCAAGCTGATCTCCTGAAGGCCCGGTAGGGAACGAACCGTCTCTCGATGCAACGCACTTAAGGCGTTGCTGTTGAGCATCAGGCTCTCCATGCTGGAGAGGTGCTGGAATGCCTGAGGATGGATGTAAGAGAGACGAGGGTTGTTAGTAATTTCAAGCTTGGTCAACTCTGGCAGGTTCTCCAGGGCAGAGCGCTCTATGGAAACTAGTTGGTCCATGTTGTTCAGTCCTAACTCCTTCAGGTGAAGCATGTCTCTGAAGTCCCCTGGTTGGACGAGTTCGATTGGGTTCTTATTGAGGTCCAGGAACTTTAAACCTGGCACCTTTTGAAGGGCTTCCTTTGGTACTTTGGTCAAGTGGTTGTCATAGAAGGAGATGCTCTCTAGGCTGGATAGTCCTTCCAGGGCCCTCTCTGACAGTTCACGTAAGCCCATCCCAGCTAAGACCAGACTACGTAAAGAGACTAATGGCTTAAAGTTGAGATCTTGGATGGTTTCTACTGGGTTCCCTCCAATCATCAAGACTTCTAGTTGTGGTAAAGCATGGAACCATCGACGGTCAATTACTCCAAGTCGGTTTGAGTTGAGGTGAAGGCGCAGGAGGTTGTCCAAGCCATTAAAAGCCCCTGGAGAGATGTTCCTTAATCGGTTATGGTTCAGGTACAGCTCCTGCAAGCCAGGGAAACCAGAAAACGCGGAGTCAGGGAGGTGTCTGAGCTGATTCTCCTCTAAATGTAGGCTCAGGAGCCTTGGCATGTCTGATATCCGTAGGTGCCGGGTACTGCTGAAGCTGTTCTGTGAGAGGTCCAGCTCGGTCAGGTTTGCCAGGCCTTGTAGTTCACTCTGGTCAAGAGTACTGATGAGGTTGCTCTGCAGACGAAGGGTCTGGGTCTCCACTGGCAGGGAAGCAGGGAGCTGCGAAAGCAAGAGGTCATTGCAGTCCACTGTGGGGGCTTCCCTGTACACAGAGCGGGGTGAATACCAGGGCTTGATCTGGCAGACACACTGTTTCGGGCAGGGTACCTTCCAGGGCACAGAATGAATAACCAGAGCACTGGCTATACTCAGGATGAGCTGGGCTTGCAGAAGTACCAGAGTATTGTATTTCATTTTTAATGAAAAATCCGACAAATTACAGCAGGACCAAAAAAATAAGTCAGGCTTTTTTGTGTGCTTGAAATTTTAAATTCACAAATTCCCAATGCGGAAAAGAAACTGGGTGTTATTTTTTCTCTAAGGTTCAGTTTAATGGGAGAATTGATGCAGAGCGTTTTTGTTTTCGTTTAGTTCTTTTAAAGAAGAGCAGACATAAATGTTTCCCATTAGGATAGAGTTTCTTAGAACTTATCTGTTAGCTGGATTCAGCAGGTCACTTTCTCCAAAGAAGACAAAAGCTGATTTGGTTGCAGCAGATTGCTTACTGCTCTCATGGTGAACAAAACCTTTTTCATCTTAAAAACTCTTTTGGAAAACAGACCATTGTAATGCAGTGCTTTTGTTCCAGCTTTTGTTTTCTAATTTTCTTATTCTGAGCACAGGTGTGTTACACATCAAAGCCAGAGACTAAGCCACAATCAACAGGCTGTTGTTCATTGAAAGAATAACTTCTTTGGGATGTTGTGTAAATCCTGCAAATGTATTCTTACAGTAATCCGCTGACCACACATGGGGTGTGTGCCTAATTCTTCACTGGTAGGTCGTGTTGCCTTCTCCTCCTGCTGGTCAGTTTAACTGTCGTTTGTTCTCTGGCCAGATGTTTTACATCTTGAAGTCATGGAGGATGGAGATGGGATGTCCTCCTTTCAGGAGCACATCTGCAAGGAAACAAAATAAAATTTTCACATTAGCTAGTCAGAAAAATCAGGGTGAGACGCATTCCAGATATAGAATGTGTAGTTGTCTGGCTTAACCCAAGCATGGGTGCAAGCGTGCAGGTTATGTCTCTTATTGTTCTGAAGATTTTACAGTTTCTGTTGCAGCTGGGCATTTAGGAGAAGTGCATTAACAGATTTGTTTTTGGTTGATGCGAGAGAATGAATTACCTTGGCCTGTTCTGTGTCACAAACTGCTTACTTCGATGCATCCTTCTGAAACTATTCTCCTGTTATCTTTAATAGTATGGGTGGTACTAAAAATCTGGTTTTAAAAATACTTTTCAAACTTTGTCCATATCAGTAGAGAAGAAAATGCATTTTGGAGCTTTCAAAAAGCAATCATTTTTAATTTGAGGCTTGACAGTCTAAAAACTCACTCAGCCACACCACAGTCCAGGATGTTATAGATTTCTGTCTTTCATGAGCTGTGAAAAATTAGTTCCAGGACAGTGCAGTTAAACCTACCTGCATTTGTCTCAGCTGTGAGGCGCAAGAAAAGAAGGTGAAATATTGTGGAACTAATTGCGTGCAGAAAAATTTAGCTTTGAATGCAATTCAGACCTGAATATTACGTATGCACAGCTGATCACATAATCATCACAGGTTGAAGGAACATGAGAAATTTTCTATGATGACAGAAATGCACTTGCAACAAACTAGAAAAAATTGTGTAAAAAAATAAAATAGAAATGTCTCTGTCAATCAGATTCAAACCATGGTCCTGGAACTGGAGGAAAAGAGTTTTAATCAGAAATCATCCACATTTTCCCAGACAAAAAAGACATACATGTATAAAGGAGATTTGGGGAGATTTAAATGAAGCCAACCCAACATTTTCAAACATACAAGCATGGACATTAGGGAGACCATGTGAAAGAAAATGAAGTACAAGACTCAAGACTGAGAACAAGATATTTTTTCCCAAAATAGCTGTAGGTGTATGTAAGCCACTATGATGTGGAAATAATTTCTTTGTCCTTTGAAAAATTTGATTTAGTCCAGGGATGGACAGTTAAGAACTCAAATCATCTCCTTTTTTAGGTTTTAAATAGTTCATGATTACATTATTCCAGCAATCTTGGGCTGGAATACCTATGATCAAGCGCTATATGCCAACAAGCAAAAGAACCAAATGACTTCACCTTTATTTATTGACATTGGATGTTGTTGCCTCACTACTGATTCTTGGCATCTTATCACAGGTACACGTTATTACTGTGGTTTTCCCTTTGAATAGTCTCCGATCTCATTTTTCCCAGTGCTTTACCACAGTGAAATTCCATACATTGCTGCTGGTAAGGCTGCAGTCTTCATAAACTGCAGAATACACTTACCAAATAAAGGATCTATTGATCTGTACATTAGTATGGACTGCAACTACCTCTCAAAGCCTTTCAAATGTACAGGATGGTGTGGTTAATGCTTGAGGATTTGATGCTAGATTTCATGATCCTTGACTTTTCCTGAAGTTGAACTTGAAAGTGTCAGTTTCAGAGAATGTACAATTCTTTATTACTGCTATAGAAACTTTTAGGAATGACAAAATTTGGAGTTCTTTATATATATATATTATATCAATAAATACAACGCATTTTGTCTCTGTAATTCTTTTTCAGGCATTGTCAAAGCGTCCTGCTTTACATCAAGAAAGTGACATCTCTCCTTCATTAGCAGTGCCAGCATCACAGCGTTTGCAATTAGCCTGCTGGCATGTGCACTTCGGTCTTGTCAGATAATTTTCCAGTGTGTACGTCACCCCCCGCAAAGTGAGCTTCGCAAAATCCATTTTCTTTCTGAATGGCCAATTAGTCCTAATATTCCTGTTATCTCCAGGAAAATCTACCTGCTATTTTTTTTTTTGCACGTACCGCTCTGTTTACACCTCTTGTCGCGAGTGACAGATCATTTGAAATATCACCAGCGCTGTGTTCGCAACAAATCATTTCTGCCGCTACTGATCTGAGAACGCCGGTGTCTGAGCTCATTTGCGGAGCGTCATGTTTCAATCCCCCTGTTTTTGACAATGATCACACGCTCCCTGGGTACCGCGCGGAGTCCCTTTTTGGCAGGCTGCGCCTCATGCAGATGTCCCCCAGAATAATTTCACCAGCAGGTGACACATAAAGTCGTTATGAGACGCTTTAATACAAAGCGAATAGAAATGTTTGCACGGGCCACGGTTTGCTTGTTAAATAATGCATCGGCCTTATTTCTCACTAATCTTCTCCTCCTGCTGCTCTGTACGGCTGGATGGACAAGGAAATGCTCTTTAACAAATGAAGACACTGGCGGCAAGGAGTGCGACTCTTCATTCTCTTAGAAGAAGCAGTTGTACTGAACGTAGGTGTTTTTTTTGCGAAGGCTTTGACTTGCAGGCACCGCACAGGGAAACGAGATCCGAGAGGCTTTGATTTCCATGCACTAGACAGGTGAATGTAGTAGGCTACTGTCCTTAATAAGGAAGTTTTTCAGTAGCTCTTAATAAGGAGGAATGTGCTAAAGAGCTGACAGTGGTGCTTTGGTATTCATTATGGGGGCTACAGCAGTGAAGACAATAGAGTGTTTCAGACCTCATTATTGAGATTGCAATGCTGGAGAGCATAGAACAGAGTTTAAATTCTTATTAGTTAGGCAAAAGTTCTGCAGAATAGGCCACTGTGTTTGTTTAGTGCTCTGAAGGGGGCACATGTGCTGCACCAGTGTATGGAGTGCTTTAGTGCTTATTAATAAAGAGGCAGCTGAGAAAGGACAGAGATGGCAGCTGAAGATGGAGGTGGTGAGAAACACCAGGGTGGATTTGCATTATCGCGGGCTGCTTGACGGCACCCTGTTGAGCAGAGAGCAGGACAGTGTTTATGAAGATGCCCGACACAGGAACCTTCACATACACATTACTAGGCTGTGACAGAGCTTTCTGAAAAGAGCAAGAATTCCGGATGTCTTAGCTGTCACTGTTCACCATTCCAGAGGTGAGGAAAGCACTCTGCCCTGCCACTGTTTCCACCAATTAGCAGCACCAGCTCTAACTAACTCTGGTAAAACCCACAGTGCTGCCGCTGTTGATTGTTATGGCCCCTTTCGCGATTGTTTTTTTTTTAAAAAAAAATACATTTTCTGTTTCCTAACGAACGCTGCTTAATTAATTTGCCACTGTCAATTTTCGAGCAGCTAGACGTTCAATTAAGGCCTGATCAGCGCTAGAAAGCCAAATGAGCCGTCTTCGCTCGAATGCTGATGGATTCTAATTTTTTTCTCTCCTCTCCTCCTCCCCCTCGAGGTCAGCGAAACCGTTTAGAATTCCGCCCCACGCCTCTATGCCTAATGAAATGTGTTCCTGATAGCTAATGCTCTTCCCGTGTAGATTCCATAAAACACACAGATAAAATGGATAATTTAAATGTCTCCTGGGTCATCAGGGCATACTGGGGAGGGGGTAGTGGAAAAAAACTCCTGTTGAAAGAAACAGCAACTTGTTTTTCAGTTGCGTAGGTCTGATAATGTTAATCTTTTTAAAGAGGCACTGGTGTGCACAGGTATTGTCACGATTGGCCGCCAATGAATGTGGTTTTCAGATCTAAGGAGACTTGAGATATGTGTTATTGGTAAAAAAAACAACAGATATTGGCACATTCATACTCCTGCAAGGTACCCTTTTTTATATGAAAAAATATGCCCTGATAAATGTTTCATGGGAGTACTGAATTGACTGCTATTTATATTTTATGAGCCATGGCTTACAGTAGGTTATGAAATAAATGGGGTTTGTTGAATCAGTGCAGAATGTAGTTAGGGATGAACCGCATTGATAAGCCCCCTTTAACTCCCCAACAAGCACTTTGAAATTGCATGGTTGGAATTCAAATGCTCTGCGAAAACCTGTAACCTCTAATTATTCTCTCAGTGGGACTAAGGCACAAAATTCAACATTTAGAGGCTCCCCTGCAGCTGATGTAAATGAGATTCTGTTTTCAGAGACACCACTGCTGCTTTTCCACACCCTCACTGGCACGGTGACAGAAGTCAGACAAACACACTCAATCAGAACAAGACGGATTGCAAGTGGCTCTGGAGTCGCAGCCCCCATTCCCCCCCAAAAATATTAGCCTTGAGTTCACAGCTCTGTCTAGATTTTGGACAAGATAAATGCATTTTTTATGCTTGTTGTTTTACATGATTATGTGGAAAAAAGTGCACTTGTGCTTGTCATTTCTTTTCGTACTCACTTAACTGTGCAATGGCAAGCCCCCTTTCTGATTGCTCTGGCTCTCTTTCCAGTGCAGGAGAGACTGCCTCTTTTTTCCTTACCTCCAAGACACTCGCTCTCCCAGCCACACCCCTGCAAGTGGCACAGTGCCCACAGTGGAGCTGGCATCAGCTGCAGGACTGAAGGGACTGTGGCTGACAAGACTAGTTCATCAGTGTGTCAGGTGTGGACTGGGTGGCCAACTGGGACCAACCAGACAGGATCAAGCCTGTAATTTGTTTGCAGTCTTACTAAACTAATGATATCGAGTAGGTTTTGCTCTTCTATATATATACACACACATTGAGTGAAGCAGCTGCAGACTGAATTCTGTTCTCCTGGAATGTATTATGATGGTGTTATAAAAGACAGCATTAAGTGATTGCTGAACCTCCGTGCAGATCTCTCAAAAGGGAGCAGTCTGTTAACTAGACTATACACTAGAAAGACATGAGGTCAAAACTGCAACTCAGTACATCAGGCTGAGTAATGGGCTTTATGAGAATGATGGGCAACAGTCACAGAGTCATCTTCAGCAATTCAAACCAAAAAGAGGTCCTTTTTTTTTTCAGTGCCAGCATGATGAATGTGTCCCGGGAAAATAATTTCTTAGTCAGAGTGGAAAGCTCATTGCCGTGAAATCCCCTACATTATAGGAAACGTGTGTCTTTTCCATGCTTGGCAGGGTTTTTAGCTT